TTGTGTGTAGGGCCATTGCCTCCAGTGGAAGTGATCTCCTACAAGGCCTCAAATCCGTTAGGGTGTGGCAGCACGGGATTTTTTTTTTTTTTTTCTGTTGCCTGTCTTTAGAAACTGAGGCAAGGCTGTCCAAAGTAATGTAAGTTACATTGTTGACAGAGGTGGTAAAATTGATTTGTCTTTGGCTGTTTTTTGTTTTGAAGATTTTTGGAGGAGAATAAAGTTTTGAAAAGGAATTTAATCTTGAACAGCAAAATACTCAATTATTTTAGAAACGTTCTTGCAGTTTTCTGCCTCAAATTTATTTTAGACAAGAAAATTAAATTTCTCCTTCAGTGTAGGGAAGGTGTAGATGTTAGATGAGATTGATCTTGATCCCTTCCTCCTATAGGTGGTTTGTCTGCTGGGCCAAATCTGAAGTTCAGCAGCCCAAATTCAGCAGCTTGGGGATAAGCACATCTTCACTGTGGTTCAGACTTTTCTATTGATGAACTAACTTCTCTGCTTGTTATGGTATGCAAATTGCTATACAGAATTGTGCAAACACTCCCAAAAATGTTTTCTGGTATCTGTTTGTGTATGTATATAGCTTCCAGCATACCATGCATTGAGGGATTTATTTTGCTTTCTGCAACAAGGAATTCTTTTCATAGCATTCCCCTTGTGATTCTCAGATGGACTGTCATACACTTTGTTGTAAGCAGTGCAAATCTGATTTTGTTTTGAATATGTCAGTCTTTCTGTCAGTGGCTGGCTCTAGCAGATGGGGGGGACAGATTGTAAACAAAGTGTGAGAGAGCATGCTTTATGTAGAATATGTCAAAGAGTTACACTTGCTTTGTTCCACACAAGTCAAACTGAAGTGAGTTTGCTACTAGAGCATTTCAAAAGTGCTGTCTTGGACCCTTTGACTAGCAAATCTCAGGCCAGAATAAAAGGTAAAGATGATCATTACTGGAATTACTTTTGTTGCAGCTCTGAGGTGATTACTGTCAGGCATGGACAAAAGGTCTCAGTCTTTGTGTTTACTTTACGATGAATCCTGGGTTTAATAGTAAAATGTATGGGGTAAGAAAAAGGCTTATGTCTTCCAATCTTGGCCTTTTATTTTTCTGAAGGCTGTTGTGATTGTTTGTAGAGATGAATAGAATGTTTTTGTCAGGCAGTACTCTCAAAACTGCAACAATTACCCTTCATCTGGACAGTCTTCCTATTTTCAGGCTTACTCAAAGCCACTTGGGATAAGAGGGGGGAAGAATGAGGCAAGACTGTCGAGGGGGTATTTATGAATCAGTCCTAATTTCGTAGTATCGTGATGAAGTTTTCCATAAACAATTTTGAAAAATTTATATATTAACTATTTTTAAATTATCCTGTTGGGTATACCTGCTTTTCTTATTTGTGACAAGAAAGTAAGTTGCATATCTAAAGGAAAATGGTTGTGCTGTGTGGTGTTATTCACTCAAACAAAGAATTCTGAAATGAAAGTGTAGATAGTAAAAGTAGCAACAGTGACAGGGAATTTGAACAAACAAATGACTAGGAGGTGGAAGAAATCATTAATGTCCAGGAAGTCAGTGGCTGATAAGAGGCTGATGAGAGGCTGAGTAAAAGTTCAATTGCTTCAATTCAATACAAATGAAGTCTTTATTTTACTGGTTGACATTGTAGGAAATTTACTTACTTGGCATCTCCATGAGTTAACAGATAAGAAATAAATGTAAGTGTATTTTCAAAAAGGGTTAATCTTGGGCAAAGAGCATTGCTTCTTTGCACAGAATGCAATGACTTTCTGAACAATCATGTAAACATAGACTGTGGGTAGGCTTTCCAAACAATTTGATGTGAAGACCCTGAGCCTTGTACCTGGTGGCATGCAGGATACTCTGATCATTAAACCCAGTTTAAGGGTATGTTTTGTCTATGAAGTGTTTTAGAAAATCAATTATAAGGAAGTTAATCAGTTATTTGGAGACAGTTTTCCTCTTGAGCTTTACTACTTAGAGGCAAATCTGTTTATAATGACTGTAATGCATCATATATTTGTGGTTTATCATTCTCTTGGTATTTATTTGTGCTGATGTCTTGCCATTTTATTGTGCTGGACTTTATGAAAGGAAAAAAAAAAAGTCAAGTCTCTGCAATATTCTGTGGAGGAAACCTGTCTAGTGGTTAAAGCTGGGGCCACTTTGTGTTGAGGGGTGAAGTACTGGAATCGTCTGCCTGGGCAGGTGGTGGAGTCACCATCCCTGGATGTGTTTAAAAAAAGACTGAATATGGCACTTGGTGCCATGGTTTAGTTGAGGTATTAGGGCATGTGTTGGACTCAATGATCTTGAAGGTCTCTTCCAACCTAGTGATTCTGTGAAAACACAAAGCTAAATTAAACATTCTGGATTGGTTAATGCAATGTTTTCAAACAAGGATGTGACTCAGAAGCTTGACCTTGGACTGTCAGTAGAAGAGTGGGTGCTCAGTAGCTTCATTCCTGCTGGCTGATTGTTGTTTGTGTGAGTCATTAGGGTGATTTTTATTGTCAGATCCGAGTTCTCATCGAGTTCAGCTTAGGTGGTACCTAGTTTATTTTTCTTGCTTGTGGAATGCAGCTTCTTTAAGGATGCCTTTTTAGTTGAAGTGTTTGGGACAATGTGACTTCAACTTACTACTTTGGAAGAATTCTGAATATTTGAGTTTTTTAGATCAGAAAACAGAATGTGTTCTTGAAATGTTACATTAACAGTTACAGCAAGTCTGCCAGGCTGTAGTACTAGAGGAGGAAAAAATATTGCTGCCACTTGCTTGGGTTGTCTGCTGCCTCTTTGATACCTGGCTTAAAGATTTAAAGAGCAGACTTCCTACCCTGGGACAAGTCTCAGATTTTTCGGGTAGAAAGCAGTGAAGTTGCAACAAGAGCTCTAAAGGTAATCAAGAGACTTCAGGGACTTGGGATGACTGGTTAAGAGATCAGAAGCTGAAGTGGTTTTCACGTTTCTGGTTGCAAGGAATGATGAAGGAAGAACCAGGAAGAGCTGGCAGATCCATATTTGGCTCTGAGCCTGGTGTCAGTGGCAGAATTTTTTTTTTTTTAATCAGTGCTAGGTTTATATGACACCAGGCCTCAAGATTTGAAAAGGAAAAGGGATAAAACCAGGGGGCAGCATGCCAATGTTTGAAGGATGGTGTGTTAGTGAGGTCCTTCAATCTGATATCTCAGTGGAGGTAGGCGATGGAGACCCATGTGGCAGCAAAGAAAAAAGGGTCACTGTGTTGGAGACCACAGAATTGCCTGGTCACATAGGAATTAGGGCTTCTAGCCAAAAAAAAGGTGGTGGGATCAACAGCTCAACCAAGTGCATTTGTATGAATGCATGCAGCAAGGGAGCAAGCAGGCAGCCAGTCACAAGCCTTCTTCCCAAGGGCTCAGTGCTGGAGCCAATTCTGTTCAGCAATGACTGAGACAAGGGGATCAAGTGCACACTCAGTGACTTGGCAGAGCATGCCGAATTGGCTGAGGATGCTGATCTGCTGGAGTATGGGTAGGCTCTGCAGAGGGGTCCAAAGAGGCAGGACCAGTGAGCTGAGGCCTGTGGTATGAGGTTCAGCGAGATCAAGTGCTGGGTCCTGCACTTTAACCACAACAACCCCAGGCAGTGCTGCAGGTTGGGGGAAGAGTGGCTGGAAAGTGGCCCCATGGAAAAGGACCTGGGGGTGCTGTTTGACAGCTGTCTGAATGTGAGCCTGCATGTGCCCAGGTGGCCAAGAAGGCCAGTGACATCCTGGCCTGTATCAGCAATAGTGTGGCCAGCAGGACCAGGGCAGTGATGGTTCTGCTATACTTGGCACCTCAAATCCTGTGTCCACTCTGGGCTTCTTACAGCAGGAAAGACACTGATGGGCTGGAGCATGTTCAGAGAAGGGCAATGGAGCTGTGGAAGGGCCTGGAGCACAAGGGTTATGAGGAGAGGCTGAGGGAGCTGGGGGTGTTTAGCCTGGAGAAAACAAGGCTTAGAGGAGACCTCACTGCTCTCTACAACCACCTGAAAGGAGTTCAAGGCGAGGGTCATCCCCTTCTCCCATGTAATAGGCAACAGGACAAGAGGAAATGACTCTGAGTTGCATCAGAGGAGATGTAGGTTGGATATTAGGAAAACTTTCTTTACTGTAAGTGTTGTCATGCATTGGAATGATGTGCCCAGATAGGTGGTGTAATCAGTGTCTCTGGAGGTATTTAAAAGATCCTTAGGGTGATTGGGGAGGTGGTTTAGTGGTGACTACATTAATGGTTGGACTCATCTTAGAAGTCTTTTCTGATCTAAACAATTCTATGACTGTGATTTTATACTAAAATGTTGGTATTAACTTGTAGCCTAAAACTGGGTTTTAGTGACTCTCATCTTATGGTGTGCATTTAAATGTGTGTGTGTGTCTCACCGTTACTGCTTTCCAGGTTCATCCTGTGTGCCCATCTTAAGTGGCCAAATCTTTTGTAGCGGATGGTGTTTGAAAGAATGCAAAAGTATTCTCTTGTGTTTTCAACTACTGAATGTTGCTTGAGGCCAGTATTGAAATTTCTTTCAGTTCAAATGAAAGCTTATGTATTTATAGAACACCAAAATAATAGATCAAACAAATTCCCTTTAAATAATATTATCAGCAAATTCCACGCTTTGTTTTCTTGGTGGTCTTGTTAAGTAAGCATTAAATAAATTTAATGTTGGGGTCAGTACTTTCAGTGCTCTCAGTCTGACACAATTTTGCTGCAGATAATTCAGCTGAAAATTACTTAATTTTCTTAGCTGTGATTTGATTTGATGTGGGCTAGTGCATCTTGTAATGCATTATGTTTAAGTCGTTTACAGTTGTATAAATAATAGCTTATTGAAATTTACATTGGTTTTTCATTGTATAAATAATAGCTTATTGAAATTTACATTGGTTTTCATTTACATTTCATTTCATTGTCTTACTGTAGCAAATGTATTCCTTAACTTTCCTGTCAGTCATGTTTATAACTACTGTACCAGTGTACACCAGTCTAATCAAGCACGGGGAGCTGGAGTACCTCCTTCTAAATCGAAAAAAGGCCAGACACCTGGAGGTGCTCAGTTTGTTGGCTTGGAATTGTATAAACGGCTAAAAGAATTTCTGAAGAACTACTTGACTAATCTCCTTAAGGTAAGATGGGGTATGAGATTGATCTGCACTTGGAGTAACATAAACTGGGCTAAGAAAAGCTGTATCAACAAGCCTAGAGGTGTAGGCAACCACTGGAAGTAAATTGAGTGATCTTAAAAGGTACTTTTGTCTCTGTAGCCATTAGAATGTTTTGTTGGCTTTACCTCAGACATAGATCAGTTCTTAAGCTTGTACCTGTGAGCTGCTTTTCATCTTCAAGCCAAAACAACATTCCTGTGTTTTATGGAAGTAATTTTACACGACATCTTAAGCTGTCCTGTACTTGAGCAGGAATAGCTAGACTTTCCAAACAATTAACCAGCAAATTAGGAATGCTGAAAAAGCCTGTCATGTTGAAAATGCCTGAGGTAGCCTTTATTTTAGTTAAATAAATAAACTAATAGAGCTGGATGTTGTCTTGCATTCAGAGGGACAGGGATGTCTTCTGGAGCTTTATCTGTGCTGTGCATTTTTTTCCAGCCTTTTAATTTCAAAATCTAATACTGGATTTGTGCCTTATTAATGCAGAACTAAATGTATTAGCAGTATGTTTCCTGTAAATACATTGCATGGTGTAAATTTATTACACAGTCAGTTTGTATACCCTGATATGTCTTGGCTGTACCTTAGAATTGTGCAACAGTACTGGCAAACTTGTCATTTCAGGATGGTGAAGATTTGATGGATGAGAGTGTGCTAAAATTCTACACTCAACAGTGGGAAGATTATAGGTTTTCAAGCAAAGTATTGAATGGGATATGTGCCTACCTCAATCGACATTGGGTTCGTCGTGAGTGCGATGAAGGTCGTAAAGGAATATATGAAATTTATTCAGTAAGTAGCTTTTTGATGTGAGTGATTTGTCCATTCCATCTGCCGTGTTTGCATTATCATTCTGTAGATCACTCCTTGAATCTCGAGGAGGTTCATAGACATTTTGAAGAAGTGGGCAAAGTGGCATTCTCCCTCCTTTCCCTACTTCTACTTCAGTATATTTGTAAAAATAACGAGGGTCTAAGTCTGTGAGATGTTTAATCTGCCTTGTATGTATTGGGACTTCAGCAGTAGACTGTTGAGGGGTATCTGAATATTTGCTGCTTAGTGTTATTTGTGTGCCTCAGCATGGCCTTGTCATCCCACTTACAATTCAGCTAAGCATTTCAAACACCAAATGAAGCAGTAAATAGTATTTTTTTTCTGATGACTTCAATATATTTCTATAAATTTTTTAGCATCCAGGCTGCTAAAATTCAGACAACATTTGGTTTGTAGTGTAAGTTATTTTGGTACAGTTCTGAAAGACTGATATGTGATCTTGATAATTTCTTGTAATGTGAAGTAATATAAGAACTTAACAGAACTTCACTATCTCAGATAACTAAAAGGTTTTTTTTTTAAATAAAGGATAATTACTGTTGTTACTGGTAAAGCATTAGGAAAGTGCTGTGCTATTTTCCTGTTTCACTAAAATAATTTTGCATATGGTAGAAAAACAGTTGGTTGTGCTTAGTTCCCTTCCTCTTAACTTTAGTAGCCTAATGCTAAGAGACTATGTCAGTTTCAAAACTGCCAACAAAAAAAGCTGTACGTTTCAAAGTCATTCAAAGTGGGTTTTGTTGGTTTCCAGAGCTGGCGGTGGATCCCCTGGTAGAAAAAGGAACAACTTAGTGGTAGTGGTAAACACAGCTGTAATTTTAATGTGAAACATTCTCATTGCTTGAGAAATGTGTGTGCCAAAAGACAGTTTTAGAAGTTCTGATTAGTTTGCATACTATATCAGCTTTCCTTAAAGGGAATTAACCTACATGTATATATAAATATTTTCTTTATTCTGTCTTTCTTCTCCCTTCTTTTCCTTCTAGCTTGCCTTAGTGACCTGGAGAGACTGCTTATTCAGGCCATTAAATAAGCAGGTATATATATATTACTATATTACAACTCTAGTGTTATTTTATAGGGTTAATTTCATATATTATTAGTAGCTGCTTCAAGGAGTCTGGGGGCGATGGAGGCATGCACAGACCTGGAAAATAAAATTGAGCGTTCTGCTTCTCCTTTGTGATTCTAAAAAAAGCAGATAAATATTTGAAGAAATAGACCTTTGTGTGTGTGATTGAACCTTGTTACCAAGACTGTTCTGTTATCTCTCTCCTTAGAGGACCCTTGGCTTTTTTTTAAAAGCTAAGGAGACTTGAAGTAGCAATTCCAGTGGTTACTAAGCTAGGCAGGAGTTCAGGCTGATGATAGTCATGTCTTAAGGTTTGGGAGTCAAGATTGGATGAGAACGGATAGGGACAGGCTGGGATTTTGGTCTCCTAATGTTACTGTGAGTTGTTACATTTACACTGATGCCTGGAAGACTCAGGTCAGCCAAATTTAGTGAACCAGCACAATATAAAACAAGGCATTCCATCACAATTTTTAGGTACATGTGTAGGTTGATTTCACTTCTTACCAGTACTTCATGATGAAGTAGTTGCAGCAGATTACCTGTGTGAAGAGCAAGTGGTTAGCTCAGGTCTTACTACAGTGTTTTGTACTTCAGGTATTTAAAAAAAAAAAAAAAAAAAAAAGAAAAAAAAAAAAAAGAGACATTGGGCTTTGAAGGGGTTTTTTTTGAAATTAAAGAAAAAAATACTAAGCACTTTAATACCCATGTACACCTTACCACTAATTAGATTGTAATTATGTCGTATAACTTAGAGTATCATTCTCTGTAGGAACTTTATATGTTCAGATCTCCTTAAATGTTGTTCTCAAGGTGCCTGACTTTTCTTGAATATGGAAATACACTCCTAATTAAGTATTGTGCTTGATCTACCAGCTGCTTTCTCTGTGCTTGACTTAACTTTTAATCCCTGTTTTCTAAGGTAACAAATGCAGTGTTGAAATTGATTGAAAAGGAAAGAAATGGTGAAACTATCAATACAAGGCTGATCAGTGGAGTTGTACAATCCTATGGTAAATGTGATTTCTTTAAGATTCTGTTACTTTCCTAAAAATAAATAAATTTATGTACCCTAACTGAGCCCAGAAGTATCATCCCACCTCCTCATATGTCCGGTAAAGATTTTTTTTTGAGTAATGTAAATGCAGTTCTGTATTGTTTAACTTCACATTATACTGATACTTTATACAATAACAGATGATTGTACCATATTTGTGAACTTGAGAGTGCAACTGATAGACAAGAGTGTTTATCATTTACAAATCAGTTATTAAGGAGCTAAATCTGGAAGTGGGGAAGGATGGTAGTTTGCATAGCAGAATGGGGTTCCTTTTTCCCTTTTGCATAACATTGAGAACATTGCCATCCAAATTACTGATTAGTTTCATTAATAAAAGTGAAAGCATATAATCTGGAACTCTTAAGAGGGAAAAATGAAAGGAGAATTTGAACTAGCATTTGAGATAGCGAAATTTTCCAAATCCTGTAATCCTATGTTTAAGAAATGTATCTTAAAGTGTAGTTGACATTAGTAATGTCTTGTACTGATATTTTTTAAATGCAAAATCAATGTTCTTTTTTAAAAGTGATGCTGATGCAGTCCCAATTGATTGCTTTCATCTAAGTTAGAAGGAGTGTCCTTGTTTATTTGCAGGAGACCACTTCATAAAAAACAATTATTTTTATTTCTTGGTCTTTTTTGTTTGGTTGGTTTTTTTTCCTTTAGTGGAGCTGGGGCTGAATGAAGATGATGCATTTGCAAAAGGACCTACACTAACTGTCTATAAAGAATCCTTTGAATCTCAGTTTCTTGCTGACACAGAGAGATTTTATACACGAGAAAGTACTGAATTCTTGCAACAGAACCCAGTCACAGAGTACATGAAGAAGGTAAGTTACTTAATCTGCTTTGTGATTTTTGTTTTTCTGGATACAGATTTTTATTTTTTTTTTTTAGAAATAAAGGAATATAAATTCTGGGCTTTTATTATCAGTTTCTTAAAATTCTGGTTATTTTACAGAAACAGCTGGTTTTCCCTGTAGTGATTTGCTTCTGTGTTTATCTGGTCTGAAGTTTGTCTCCTTACCTCATTTCAGTGAGTACAGTGAAAGCAGGGAACTTTCTGAACAGTAAAAACAGAAGATTTTTATTAAAATAAATTCAGATTTTTTTGGACTTCAAGACACCAAAACAATAATTCTGCTTTAGTACCACAAGTTTACCATTTCTGTACAAGGAACAGTGTGTTGACACATTTATTGAAGTACCTTTCCTGAGCAAGATGGCTAAGGAAATATATCATTAATTAGCTTTAATTCTCTCAGAATATTTTAGTGTCATGAACCCCTAAAAATTACTTCTCATCAACAGAGGCCAGATTTAAATTCTTAACTAGTCTGTGGTTTTGGGGATCTCAGACAGGGCAACTAAGGGCAAGCAGGATAAACATTGGCTATTTCTGGCCTGGTTATTAGGTCAGTCTTACTGACCCGGTAGTAGATAGGTCATCTTCCACCTTGGACAAGTGCTGTTTCATATATTTTTTTTCTTGGCACATTTCTTCACTTTCTGAATTGCTGCTTGTTTATTCCCTTTCAGCTTAGTTAAAAAAGAAGAGAACTTTTAAAGTATGTAATGTACAGATACACATCCCTCCCTGCAGTATTCTTTGTGTAATGCTTTTTACCACAGAACATATCCTTTCTGAACTCTTAGCGTTAAAGTCAGTGAATTACCGAAAAAAGAAAAATATTGGAGGGGAAGTCCAATAACACAGTAAAAGGAATTGCGTCTTTAGTAGTTTCCCAATAATTACCAGATCAACCTATGTTTACTTTTCTGTTGTTGAATTAATTTTTTTTTCTTCTCATTCAAGTTCTTGTTTTAACTTTCATCCTAATGTATATATAAAAAGAAAGTAAGGAAATTTCAGTCATTCAGAACCTGAACAACTGGCTCATCCAGACTTCCTTGGTACAGGACAGTAAGAAGCTGTCTGAAGGTCATTGCTATTTCAAGATCTAGAGATTACAGACAAGTAGAAATAACTGATTAGACCCTAAACAATCCTCAAGGCTTCAGAAATCCACAAAACAACAACTTGCTTTGCTGATGTTGAAGATGAAAGCACATACGAAGTTAGCAGACAGCAGGGGAAATGTTCAGCAGAAAAGTGTGTAGCCTTGTGTTTCTGCTCAAATTAATATATTAGAGATGTATAGAAGCCATTTGGGCACTCTCGGCATCTCCTTACACACTAGTGGCTGTAAGATCTTACAAGTAATCTGATGGAAGCATGAACTGTGAACGGAGTAATCTCCAAGTAAGAAAGGTAGTGCACCTACTTGACATTCTCACTGGAGCACTGTACTTTGAGTTCTGTCTGGTGATAAATAGCATTGCAAAATGAAAAGAATCCTTGGAGTACCCTAGGGCACACCAGCATAGCATGACTGTTACCGTGTTACAGTAGAACTGTGGTAGTGTCTTGTAGAGTAGTCGATGAAATCTTAACTAGAACTAGGATTTGTGTATGTAGTTACATAGGCAGACTTACTGAGTTTAGAAAGATTGTGAATTTTTCTTCTCAGGCCAGAACTCATGAGTAAAGCTGGCATAGCCTGATGTGCTGTAGGGAAAAAGGTCAGTATTTCTTAAGATTGTTCCTTAAAATACAGTCTTCCACCGAACTTTTCATCTTTACAGTTGAAACAAGTGAAGCTACTGTTGTCTGAACTAATTATTTTTCCCTTGTTTCAGAAATTTGACTTTAAAAGGAAAATGGAGTTATAAGAACACCAAATAAAAGAGAGTATAAGGAAATATTAAGTTAGAGTAAATACTTCTTTTCATAGAAGAGCTCACAATGAGAGCTGACTGTTAACATTAAAAGCAAAGGTCTAAGGATATTTTAAGAAACAGCATCACAAGCAGTGGAATTTCCTAACTACAGAAATACAGAATTTATTAAATGCAGGCTAAGTAGTTCCAATGTTCATAAGAAAGATTTGCTGCTATTTGCTGTCAATAAGGAAGTTGATTGTTATTCCTTACTGGTAAGAAACTGGCAAGTACTCTGGAGCTGGAGTTTATATGCCTTCTCAAGTTTCTGATTTCATTTCCTGTATTTTGATCTGTACTGGTTTGGCTCTAGGAGACAGTAATCTGGGATCATTTCACAAGACCTAAGTGCAAAATAATTGCAGAATGAGTGAAGCTAACAGTGGCTTAGATAATTTAAAGCTATGTGTGGTACAGTGCACTTGCAGTGTAACTGTTCCTTTTTTATTGTCCAGAATATGATCTTTCATGCTTACTTGTTACTCTGGCCTACTAGGACAATGAATTAACCTAATTCCATTTACTTGATGTTGTTCATTTAAATAATTTGAGCTGATAAGAGGACATACATCCTTTATCCCTAATAATGTGCTGCAGTTACAAATGGTTTGTAATGCAAATCTCAACACTTTCGCAAACAAAATGGAGGTAATTGTTATGTAAACAATTTCAGTTTTACATTTCAGTGTAAGTTCTATTCCTTGAATGACATTTAGAATTTTAGTTTGCCGGGAAGATACACATATGTAGTATTTCGTATGCCAAACTAAATGCTAGTATAGTCTAAATGGCTGTAATTTATTGGGAAGCTTTTCTGTGTAAGAATGTAGATGAGAATGTTCAAATAAATTTGTCATGGGCATAGTGTTAAATTGTAGTTTTCTGCCTTTTAGTTTTGTGGAGCCATGAAATACATTCATTTTTGTCTTAAACAGAACTACCTCTGTAGTTGGAGAACTTGCTGATCGTAAAACTGCCAGCATCTCATGTCAGCGGCTTTCTCTTTTTCTGACAGCAGATTTCCATCTGTAAACTCCTTATTCACAAGCAACCGGAAAACAGTTTTGCTGTGATTCTGCCCCGCCACTTAAACAGCACATTGTATTTTCATCATAAACATCAGTTCCAAATGTATATTATGATTCCTGGAAAAATAACTGCTAAAGTAGATGGTCCGTAACACCAAACTAGAGAGAAGTTTGCTTGTTGTTGTTGTTGTTGTTTTCTAGAAAAATTTAGTGAACAGTCACCTGTTTTCTGCTGTTGGATTCGTGTTCTGCCTTCCCTGCAGATTTTCATGTTTTTTTCTGTGTTTCTGTAGGCTGAAGCTCGCCTTCTTGAGGAGCAGCGTAGAGTTCAGGTATATCTCCATGAGAGCACACAAGATGAGTTAGCACGAAAGTGTGAGCAAGTACTTATCGAAAAACACCTGGAGATATTTCATACAGAGTTTCAGAATTTGTTGGATGCTGACAAAAATGAAGGTAAGGAGTCTCAAACACTGGCTTTAGGCTTAGAGCTCTCCTCCGTGATGATTTGTGAATGATGTAAAATCTGGTGCTAGCTAAATGTCATTTGTTCAGGAATTAGATTAAGAGAGAAGATAATCACTAAACTGACAAGCAGATTTTGATGAAATCGAGATGACTGATGATACTGCTTCAAAGACCCTACCCCAATCCCAGATATTAAGGCAGAGCAGCACTAATTTGATTTCTCTTAACATGGCTGGAAGAGTTTCAAGAGCACTTGAGCCATTTTTCCAGCAGGAGCTGAAGCTTCTGTGAGAGAGATGGGAGGTGAAAAACAGACCAGTACTCTTTCCTGTTTCAGTTTAATCCATGGATCTTCCTGAGTCAGCACTGAGAATTTTGAAAAGTGTTCAGAAGTAGGTATAGGAAATGTTAAAAGAGGAATAGATGCAAATAAGTAGCTTTTAAAATAGAGTATATAAAATACATAATATTGCATATAGAGTGTGGCAGCAGGTCTCTGGCTACAAAGAGCAGCACACAACTTTCCCAGGCATCGCATGAGAAAGGCTATGAGAAGATCAGAGAAAGGAACGATATTCTTATCTTCACTTGCTGCACCGGTTGTGAGCATGTGGAATGAGTTATGGAGATTTGTTTACCAAAGGGTGGTTTCTTAAGTAGCCAGTGGTGATGGTGTTTGGACTGAAGGACCAGTTAGGTCCCCCTGTATTGTGACTGTCTGTAAGGGTGATGGGTTTCTTAATAAGTATAGGATAATAAAATGATTGATCAGCCTTCTGAAAAATCATGGAGTCAGTGCTAATTATTACCTGGCTGAGGGCCTGCAACAACATATAGAGCACAAGGAAAAGGTGGAAGTTATTAATTGATGAGTTAATTTTGGCTGTGAAAATGATTCTTAAGTGTTGCTAATGGATCAAATTTATATTGTCGTAGAGAATACCTAGAATAAAGATTTCTTCAGCACTTCCTCTGAAATAAGTGAAGATTATTAGAATTTAGATATCTTTAAGGAATTGTCAATTATGTGGGTTTGTATGAGTTTATTCAGGGGTTAATAGCACAAAATAACAGCCAGAGCTAATTCCTGTGTTTCATACAGATGATGAGGATGAATCATGATTCTGATTTCCCAGTTGGAGAACTAATTAAATCTGTATTTCATGTCTGAATATTGCTGTACAGCTGAAATACTGCTCTTATGAAAGGGGAAGAATGTAAGAGATGCTGTGGTTACGTTACTAATGATAAAATTGCTTGTTTGAGTTTTAAATTGTGACTATGACTCTGTCTCATTGTATATCTGTCTTAAAATAGCAACTACAAATTATTAATATCTATAATAGTCATGTTGATAATGAAGAGATGCTTTGAAATCAAAAAGGGCAATTCAGTATGATTAGTAGGTCAGAAGTTAGCTGATTCAAATGTAAATAATTTGTACTAGTATTTAAGTCTGATGTTGTTTGTGTTTGTAAATATTTATTCCATAATTGGAAGAGATTTTCATGGCTGTTGGTTTGTGAAATGACTTCATAAATGACTCTGACAATTGAAATAGCAGTAGAACAAACAAAGTTTTTTCTGGACTCAGGACACCTTCACAGACTTTTATTTTTTCCTCCTACTTTATCAAGCTCATGGGTTATGTGAGTCCTTAGTAAAATCACTTCCTGCAGTGATGCAATTCCATAAGTTTGTCAGGGTATAAAAGAAAAGAAGTCTTTTGTGTCTTGGGCACTGTCTAGTTATGTATCTTTGGGTTTACTTTCGTGTGGATTATTTCTAAGATCAACTAGACTTTTTTTTAAATGCCTGATTTTTTTTTTCTTATTTTTCAAAATATTTTCTTTTCTATTATCAGGTTTCAGTTATGGAAATAGTAGCAATTCCCTTGCCCTTTATAAGATTGATGAAGTTTCAAGATTAGAAAATACATTTTCAGTAATAGTCTGATAATTCACTCTTTAATCACAGTAATCAGTTAATTCTCCAATTTGTGATATACTAACATAGCCTTTGGTAGACTGTCCTAAACTTAGAAGAAAAGGTTGCTCTTGATTAAAATATTTGTTGCTTTGCTCTTGAAATTACACTGGTTTTGAGGTCCTTTTATGCAAACTGTGTTGGAAAACATCAAACACAGTTTGCACAAACACAGTGGCCAAAAGGCCACTCCTTTTGGTGTTCTGTAACTTAATCCATTGTGCAGCTAATGCATAAACTGGTTATAAAGGTTGTGGGACACATTCCTCATGTGTTACATACTCACATCAGTATAATACCTGTAGGAAATAATTTGGTTTATTGGGAGAAGGCTGTAATGATGTAGGTGGAGTTACCATGCAAATCTTCCATGGGGCTTTGTACCATCTCTTCCTTATTTCACCCAACACAGACATCCTGGTAAACCAAGCTGTGAACACTCGTTTGTGGGTAAATACAGTAGCAGCTTGCTGTATCTATGCATGGCATTATTTTCCTTTTTTCTGAAGTTCTGCATGGTATTCATATGTTCTTATAGAAGTTAACATCAGGTTGTAATAATGTTTTTTCACAAAGCGAAAAAAAAAGTTTCATTTTCAAATCTGCAAGTTTAAGTTTTGACAAAGTTTTAAGGAAAGGAAAGGGCTATACAGAAACCTAACTGAACTGCAATGTCATCCCTTCAGTATTAGAAGGCATCAAACTCTGTGTTATATTTCAGAGTTAGGTAGAGCACCAGCTCACTGTTTGCTCTGTTTTATTTAATCTGATAATCCTCTAGTGATAGTAAATTGCTCACGAGTCCTTCAGAGAAGTCCTTGCACCTCAGAAGAGCTAGATGCAGCTGTCAACCTTTACATGTGTTTCACAAGGTGAAAATATCCTCCTTAGTTTACAGTAAATATCTGATTATTTACTGTTTCACTGGAGTGCCTGTTCAGTGAGGGCAAGATTGCAAGAGGTCACTGGCAGGTTTGTGGACCTGGTTTATGGCCAATTCAATGTTTGCTTTTCTTTTTTGAAGAGTTCTGCTCTCAGAAAATACAAAGTATCTATCCTGTTGAAACTAAATAATAAAAACCAAAACTCTCTTCAGTATTAAACTTTCCAAAATTGCTAATTGATTTGGAAAGTGTTGGCTGAAAACTGGTGAGATTTTAATATGAAGCATTACCATGCTTGATAGTGAAATAGCATGCCATTTTACCTTCATTAGTTCTAATGTAATGCTTTTCAGAACCTCTTTTCTTTCAGATACAATTATCACTACTGGTAATCAGTCACTTAAAGTTGTTTTTTTTAAAGAGATGTCTTTTACTGTCAGTGCTTTATTGAAGGAAATTTGATTTATAATGTTTAAATTTATCTGCTAAGGTCATATCAACATATAACACTTTGCCTTAAATTTCCAACTGTTACTGCTGATGCTGTCCAAAGTAAAAGTGTTGATATGCAAAGGGCTACAAGTAATGTTATGTGTCTGAGAACTGATCTGTTCAGAGTAAGATTTAAAGGACAGTGGTCAGCTGGAAAATATTATACTCGTAGCACAGCCAGCAGTAACATTAATAAGAGCCCCAAATTCATGATAGCACCTCAAAATGTTACTTAAACAAGAGACGTTTAACACCATTTTTAAATCATTGCTTTAAACCTGTGAATACTAAAAATCAGAAGTAAATTTTCTACCATTCAAATGGTAGGTTTTTCTTCTTGAGATTTGTTGCATTGTGGATGTTAAAAATAGATCCTAATATAACAAATTGTTTTCTCTTTAATGAGTGTCAGCTTTCCAGGTGATTGCAAAGGTTTGCTGAACTGGATAATTGTTTACTGTCATTTTTTCTGGCTTTTTACAGGAGCAGTTGCATATGTGTTTTTGTTGACAGTGGATGTTTAGCTCCTATTGACAACTTGTAAATGAGAATTTGAAGTAGTAGCCAGTACAGATAGGAGATGTTAACTTTCCTTTTTTTTCCTATTTTACAGACTTGGGTCGCATGTATAACCTTGTATCTCGAATCCAGGATGGCCTTGGAGAGCTGAAAAAACTTTTAGAAACCCACATTCATAATCAGGGTCTAGCTGCAATTGAGAAATGTGGAGAAGCTGCACTAAATGCAAGTATCCCATCACAACAAGTCTGTATGTGCTGCCAATTTTACATTAGAGGATAGTGAATTCTTCCTGATAAAACTTCCAGTTTGTTTGTTTTCCTTCTCACTAATTTAATTTGTAAGGACTTGGCAATTCTCAAATGTTGGTAGAGGGCTTAAAACACTCTGTTTCTACTGTTTAAATTTTGGGGGTCTTTGGAGTGTTTTTTTGTTTTCGTTTGGTTTGGGCAGGTTGTGGGGGTTTTGGTTTGGTTTTGAGGAGGAGGGTGAATTTCCTTCTGAGATCTTGCTCTCTGTCAGGTGTTAGGCTGCTTGGAAAGCTGGCTGTGCAAACACACTTACAATATAAGTACACCTGAAAGTCCACTTTTTTAAGAAGCATTATCTCCAGTTGACTGTATTTTATTTCATCATCTTAAGGAATTCTGACTTGAATGAGACTATCTAGAGAAAGTTTCTCTTGGTTTGAGTTTTTTTGATAATGTCTATTCTGTTTGGAAAAGCATGAGAAATAGAAGGAGAAGAATGAACTGAAATGGTTGGAAAGGTCACAATATAAGGAGGAGGAGATCAGGTCTTTGGAAAGGCTGCTATTTTTATCCCATAATTGTAATTTCAAACTTATTTTTGTATTGATTAGTGTTGCATCTTGGCAACATGAAGTTGTTTAAATCCTTTGCCGACCTTCTTCTCTATAGACAATATGATGTTTTCCAGGGGAAAAGAAAGAAAGAAACACTGCACAAAGCAAGATCAGGATAGAATATAGATTCTGTTAAATTTTATTTAAAGTGGAATTCAAGAAGCATTTAGACAATGCTCTCAGGCATTGTCATTGATAATTACATCATCAGTGTGATTCTCATGGTGGTCCTGTGCAGAGTCAGGGGTTGAACTTTGATGATTCTTGTGGGTCCCTTCCAACACAGGATACACTATGATTCTATGATAAACTTTGATTTTTGACAAAGTTTATTTTAACTTGTTGCTTTCCTGAGAAGTTCTTGAAATAGCTTCATTCTAAAGCAGTAATCTGTATTGAAGGGTCTGTTGCTCATTTCTATAGTTTTAAGTGCATAGCTTTTTAGCAGTGTTGATTTTTTTTATGAATCATAAAGTAATCATGAAGCAAGTTCAGGAATCTTCAGTTTCATTTGTAGATGTCTCCATAAATGTTGAAATCAGATTTGCTCTGTGCTTGGCACATCCCCCTAGTGGTCATCACTCTTGAGGTTTTTTTCTGCTTAGGCCTTGAAGAATTAGGCCAGGAAAAAAAAAAAATGAAAGATCTTTCTCCAGGAATTATTTCATATTTCAGAGAGGGGAGGTCCAAGATTTGCATGTATTAGTTGACTCCAACCATTTACAAAATTCTTCCTGCCTCTGACACTTTTTCTTGTTTCCACATCTTTCTCTTTTGTTCTTTATTCCATGTATTTGTTCTCCATTTTCATAGCAGTATCTCTAGCTGTTACCCTTGGGAACCGTCCTGCCTTTTCTTGCAATATCCCACACACCACTGTATTGCTGTTCATCATTGCTTTGTTAGTCCTTAGGATTGATTCTTCCCAACTTCATTTACCTGTTCTGTGTCTAAACAGATAATCAGGTGAACAAATGCTTCTCACTTTCTGTGTAGTCAGTACAAAGAAATAGTCATAGCAACCTGACTCATTTCACCTATTTTAGACTTCAGTGCAGAAGCAGTTGTGTTGTAGTCTTTGTTAACTGTATTAACAAGACTGCTTTTCAGTCAGGAGATTGGCTGCTTTCTGTGCATTTTGTTTGCTGGTTTTTTTAGTCCTTGTAATCAGTACTTTTCTGAATGTCCTTCAAATCCACTTGCATTCCTTATCTCAGAAATTCTCAATAATCTCAGTTCTTTGTCTCAAGCATGACATTAGATTGGTGGTCCATGGTAGTCTGTGTCTGTCTTCAGTGGCAATAGGAAATGTTTTTCAGGATCCTGATAAAACCCTGCCCATATTCCTCTACTTCTAGCTAACAAGACCTTCTGATCTCCACATTGAAGACTTCCAGCCTTTTTTAGTCTGTTGTGCAGTAGCTGTCTTGTGTGCCTGATGATTTACTTGCCCATCACCGTCCCTACTCCTTGACTCTACTCCATCTTTATTGAGAAGCTAAGATCAGTAACTGCACAAACAGCTCAGTCTGAGTGAGCTTGATGTTTACTGGCATTTGGCTGCCACTGGGTGCTGAGCACGTAATTTTTAAGAACTACCAATGACTGATGCATCTGTACTAAGTTGTACCTACCGGATATATACCAGTCACATTCTTACTACAGAGGTTTTCCTCTATAGCAGCTGCCATTTTATAATTGTCCAGCTCTCTCAAGTGTGCCTTGAAATAAGTTTAAGTCTTTGAAAATGTTTGCAGTGGTGAGTAAATACTTTGTTGTCCTTTGTGTGATGTTGTACACTCTGCATTCTGGTTGCTGCAAATGAAAGCTTGCAGTAATATTAGTCAATCCTGGACATAGGACCTGAACTAGTACTGGGTACTAGTTTGCCTCTAAAATGTTTCTAATACTTCGTAGACTTTCTCCACACAAATTTTCTTGGGCCAGTGAATAGCTCCATTTTGGAGAAAGTAGAAAGCAGAAAGTCAACAGGTTACAAAATCCAGTCTCTCCTTATTGCAGGATCCAAAAATGTATGTACAGACAGTGTTGGATGTCCATAAGAAATACAATGCATTAGTCATGTCTGCATTCAACAATGATGCTGGCTTCGTGGCTGCACTAGACAAAGTAAGTGCATGTAGTGGCAGATGCTGGACTTTTTCTTTTTTGTCCCATGCAAATTTAAAAAAATTGTCTCCCAATATTTCACTGTCTTTTGTGATTTATAGGCTTGTGGTCGATTTATAAATAATAATGCAGTGACAAAAATGGCTCAATCATCCAGTAAATCCCCAGAGCTATTGGCACGATACTGTGACTCTTTACTAAAGAAAAGGTATGTCCTCAAAGACAAGTTATTATTTCATGTTGGCTTTTATTTTTAAAGGTTTTAGCCTATGAAGTTTTATACTGTGTTCAGAAACAGACTTCACTTTGCAAGAAATTAACTTTATCAAATTCTGGATACAAAAATTTCAGTAGGACCATTCCTAAAGGTTGTGTTGTTTGGTATTCTTTTTAAGGAAGAGTGGAGGAAATAAGAAAACCTTTCTTGCCTTAAAAACCATCTTAAGTGTTGGTTTTTCAGTAAAACTGAAGGAGGGGTTTTAGGTAGGGTTTTTTACACTGAAAAACTTAAATTGGGTTGTATGTTGTAAAAAGATGCACATTCCCTTTTTCCATTAAAACTGTTGCTTTCCTCCTTTTGTTTTTTCTATACCTTCTGCTATCTGGGCAGAAATTGAGAAGGAGAAAAACTGCTTTCTAACTTTTCATAGCTCAATTTTAATTCAAGTTATTTGGCTTTAAATGATTCAGCAGCTCATACACTGAGTTGGTATCAGTTCAGTTCATACTGGATTGGTGTCAGATTTGTTTCTGGCAACATTTCTAGTTGCTTTGGCGGAGGGAAAAAAACCACCACCAAACAACCCAAGAAAGGGACAACTTGCTCACTTTTCTCTTTCCCATCTCCTCCTTCACTCAGCAAAGGGTTTATTTTCTCCTTTACAAATACTGACTGTGTGCAGGGTAGATTCGGTGGGCAAGCATGAGATGGAGGAAGACAATGTGGTGCCACCTGAGATTTCACCCAGTCAAGTCCCAGCTCTGTGAGCTGGTTTCTTCTCACTGTACGATCTAAGATAAGAAATAAAGATAGCATTTAGCAGCAGGAAGAGAGAGGTCCATGTTTAAGCTCATAAATTCTGAGAAGTACCAGGCTATCAGCAAGTCTCAAGCAAGTCATGGTCCAGGACTTCAGCCTGTGACATTTGGGAACTTCAGAATTGCTGACAGGTGAAGCAGTGAGCTGTTCACTTCACTACATTGTTTTCTTTCTAAAGAGCATTTGATCCCAGAACTACTCAAATTTGCATTCTTTTAGTTCTGAAGCATTCATATGCATCCATATGTTGGTTTAATTCTGCTGGTTTGGGACTCGTTAAAAATGCACTTCTTTAATTGCAGCTCAAAGAATCCAGAAGAAGCAGAATTGGAAGATACACTCAATCAAGTGGTAAGATGTCTATAAATACATATAAAATATAAAAATTATTTTGTTTATTAAAAAACCGCTTACAGCAGATTTAAAGTGGCTATATTGAAGCTATGCTTTTGCTTAATCTGTCTGTGCATATAAAATATATAATTTCCACAACATCTTTTTATATCGTTATATATCCATATATATAATACGCTCTACATGTGGAATATACAGTTTTTGTTTTAAAATAGTATCTATATTTAAAGCAAACACACCACCAGGCCCTCCACCCTCCCCCAAAAAAAGCGAACAAAACCCCCAATCTTTAAAATTTAGCTGTAAATTAAGTAGCTCCTGCTACATCTTTCTTAAGACAAATGTTTAAATATTTTTTCCTTACGAATTATCTTGGCTTTTCCAGATGGTTGTCTTCAAGTACATTGAGGATAAAGATGTGTTTCAAAAATTCTATGCTAAAATGCTGGCAAAGAGACTTGTGCATCAAAACAGTGCCAGCGATGATGCTGAGGCAAGCATGATCTCCAAACTGAAAGTAAGTATTCCATGACTGTCCCATGATCTACTGCCCTGCAGGTCTTCACACTGTTTTGGAAAGCATTGACATACGTCTTTTCATTTGTTTATTTTATGCACAGAAAAATACACAACCTAGGTCTTTTTTTTTTTTTTTTTTTTTTTTTTTTAATCTAGGGACTTCTAGTGCATGTCTGCCTGATGGAGCTAAGCTTAATTATTCTTAATCAAATGAATGACATGGATTTAATTATTCAAGGGAATGAGTACTGAAAAGTAGCTTAATTTTGTTAACCCATATTTATGCAGAGTTAAGCAAAATACAACTGACTACCCTTTGACTAGTCTGTTTCATTGTGTTTCACCTAATTTTTAAACAAAATTCTCTTCAGTTTTCAGTGGCAGATAAAGCTCATATTCCAGGGGGGATTGGCACTTTGAGTAGGGGAAATACAGAACTTTGTACATTTTCTGTTAAGGAAAGAAGTTCCAACACTTTGTTCTTCTCATTATCCAATGTCCAAAATGTATTTTGCTGATGTATCTGTGCTTTTAAATACAGCAAGCTTGTGGTTTTGAGTATACCTCCAAGCTGCAGCGGATGTTCCAAGATATTGGTGTAAGCAAGGATTTGAATGAGCAATTTAAAAAGCATCTGACCAATTCAGAACCATTAGATTGTAAGTAATACCTTTACCTAAGTTACTTTTGCTTCCCCTTATTACTGCAGAACTAAGTGTGTGAGGGAAATGTTTGACTTACTCATACTGCCACAAATTAGATTTAGTGTTTTTCTGACCATGATAGCTGGGATGTTTAAATTAGGTCTTTAAATTCTAGGTCTGTTCTTTGTTTTCTAGTAGCTTTTTATATATTTTATGGGTAGCTTCCTCCTGATTTTAGAGCTCACGTTTAGGTACATAACTAAATTAAGTTGAATACTATCTTGTCTCTTTTTTCTTTTTTTCTTCTTCTTTATGTTTGATTGGAGAGATGGTTTTCTTTAAGCAGTTTTGATTTTTAGCTGTTTAATACTTAGACTCGTGTGAAAGTATTAAGGATAAAAGTATATTGTTTTACAGGTTGTTAGATTCCCCATCACCTTTTTATACTTTTCAATTAAAGCATGTTGAACCAAATTCTGTAAACAATTGATAATTATTTCTTGGATTACAATTAGAGTTGTGTATCATCAGGTTTAAATTTTACTTAGGTTTTGTATTATTCATACGTGATTTGACCAAAATGCATTACAAGTATAGGTGTGAAGTCTGTTCTTGCAGTTGTGTACTGTAGAGTGACGATGAACACTTAAAATTTTCCCACTTCTGTGTTAAAAGAGAAACTCATTGTGGGGATGGAACAGAGTAGTAACTTCTCCAAATAAAAGAAGATTGAGTGCCTGTAACAGTAAATCTAAAGCTCTCCAACTGCAGTGACATCTCTCATGAATAACTTTGGTTATGTTCTGACAAAAATAAAGTAGTGGTTAAGGATTTTTTACCATGTTAGTTCGACAAAGAGCCAGAAACATGTCTGTGTTAGAACTGGAGAGGAGTTAGGAGAGTGGAGTTAGGAGAAAGTTGTAATAATGCAGCTCATCCTCTTCACCTCTCTTTCAGTGGATTTCAGCATCCAGGTGCTGAGTTCTGGATCGTGGCCGTTCCAGCAGTCCTGCACGTTTGCTCTGCCATCTGAGGTGAGGCACTTGCACTTGGCTCATCTGAGCATGGAATGATCATGAAAGGAATTTTTTTACAAAGCTGGCGTTTCCTTCCATTCTGTTCCGTATCAAAGAGGACTAGAAGTGTCTCTGGTATTTGCCTATTTGGCCTGAGGATATTTGGAAGAAGATAATTGAGTAAGGTAGTAAGAGGAAACTGTGTGAAACCCATGGTTTTGTATCTTTCCCATGAAAACTCCCTGGTTAATGAATCTTTCTTCAAAATATTCAAGAGCAACTAAAGCAAATCTTTGTTAGTGCATTTTTTTGGATAGACCTAATTTAAGAAACCTTTTCATACCATTGCTTCAGCTTTGCCCAGTAAAATATTTAGATATTATAATCATTAGTTTTCTGCTGAGTGTTTATCCAGAAAAAAAGACATGAATATTTAATGTGAGAAATAAATTTAATGCTGTTACCTGGAGGATGAAGGTGCTTAAAACAAATTGCTTTTCTAACCATGTTTAATGTATTCTAAAAGGAAGAACGAACCTTAAATGCCTATTTACATTTGTACTATTAATGATACTCTAAAGGGGAAACTCATAACAGAGGGAAATTTTTCATCCAGTCTGCTGAATTTGAATACTTAGAGTTTACCTTTGTGTTATTTAGACAACACAGTGGTTGAGGGTGATCAGATTTGATGATCCCCTGTTGCTTTCATAACATGTTCTAGTAACAGTGAATGAAGATAAATAATATTTATTTATTTATTTATTTATTTATTACTGATGTTTTTATACAGTTAGAACGGAGCTATCAGAGATTTACTGCATTTTATGCCAGTCGTCATAGTGGAAGAAAATTAACATGGTTGTATCAGCTGTCCAAAGGGGAATTGGTTACCAACTGTTTCAAAAACAGATACACATTACAGGTAAGGAAAAGTCATACCAATAGAGACACTTGGTCATGGTTGCTTTCAGAGGACTGGATGCAGCCAGTAGAACCCTTATTGTATGTTTATTTTATTTACTGTACTGATACTAAAGACCTGTGTTTAAAAGAAATTTGACTTAAGAAACAGAACACATTGCCTGTGGTTTAAACAGGTGTTGAAATGCATTTTGTGAGATAAATACAACCTCTTTGCCTAGGATTTCATGCTGCTTATACTTTACTGTCTGCTTTCTTTCAAAAAGTAGATGGGATGGGGAGTTCACAACAGTAAGAAGAAACAAGATAATGTCAGACTTTGACCTTGTCATCAACATATGTTAACCCTGTGGTGATAGGCATGGATAAGCCATTGATAGCTGCTTGGTGTATAAATATGGTTTCATTATTCTGCTGGAGTTGGGAGGGTTGTGAGGTCTGTACTGGATGCAATGAAGATTAAATGGGCAAGAGTTGGAGTGACAGAGGAAAACAATTTAAAACTATATTAGCAAATAGAAGGATAATGTTTTGATACCATAATAGAAGATTTGATAAAGTGTCTGAAGCAAGCCAACTTATTCTAATCCTGAGGTTTATGTTTAGATAATTTTGGAAGGGGGAGTTCTGGTTGTAAAAACAACATTTGATTATCTTTTTTTGTTTTATTAGCAGCACTTGGGTATTCTCTGTTGTCCAAATATTCCAGTGTATGTGTTTAACTGGTGAATTTCAGGTTGTTCAAATTCAGGAAGTGTTTGTAAGTTCTCATTTTCTGATTTGCCCTCGGTCCACTCTGCTCTCTGTTTTTGGATCTGTCAGGCATCCACATTCCAGATGGCGATTTTACTGCAGTACAACACAGAAGATGCCTACACGGTGCAGCAGCTGACAGACAGTACTCAAATAAAAATGGTAGTGACTTTGCACGTTTTACCACACTCTTGTGAGCAAGTGTTTTGGTCTTCAGGGCTCTTGCTGCTATTATAAGATATTTGGATTACACATGCTTGGAGCCAGAACCAGTTTCTGTCCCAAAGGAGACAGATGTGCTCTATTCTTGGTCAATTAACTTTCCTGGTTTACTTTCCTGTAATCATAACTGCTTGGTCTTCTGATTAGTCTTAGTGCATGTACATTCCTGTTCATGACTAGAGTCAATTGTCTAGCTTCCTGCTGGGCTCTGGGTAGAAGTTTTCAGTATTTCAATACATACATTTTAATGTTAAAAGACAACATTCTAGCAAAACCAGCATTTTTCCTAAATGATTGATCTATGCATCTGTCATTCTTTTATATCTTAAGGCTTTTTTACATTAACTCAGTAAATCTGCAATTCATTGGCTAACTCTCTCCTGTGGAAAAGGTTCCCTCCTTTTCTTCCCAAGCAGGCTTTATGACCCACAATTTGATATTTATTTGACCTTTAGCAGTAGATGTGAATCAAATCTGCTCTGACTTCTGGAAAGTTAGGTATTCCTATTCAGTAGGATCTTTACTTCTAGAAATGTGTACCTAGAAAGTTATTGTTGCTGATAGATTACAGCAAACCCAGAAGTCTTAGGGAGTTGTCATTTATTACAGACTGTGATAAAATAGCAGCTTTGCAGGCCTGCACAGAATATTGCCAGTAGCCTTCTGAGTAAGCAACCAGCAACAGCAACCAGAATGGATCCCTGTTAAAACAAAAAGATGTTAATCAGAAAGCAGAGAGTGCTTGCTTTCTGAAGTTTGTTTAAGTTTGCCATGGTGTATATATAGTTGCATGGTTTGGGAAAAATATTTCTTAGACATATAAATCTGCTTGCAAAATAGTTCCTAAAGCAGCAACTGGAAAGATCTTTTGTTTGGAATTAGTATTCCTCAAGAATTTTATATTTGACCAACCACAAGTGGGATATGTCATAACACCAAAAAAGGCAATGTTTTATTTCTGTGAACTAAATTTTTACTGCTTTTTCTTGCCCCTTCATTTTGCAGTGTTCTGCACTCATTAGTTCTTAGTCTAAATATGTGCATTCTTGTTCAAGTTTTTAAGTTAGACAAAGGTGCTGTCTATCTGCTCTGATAATGTTTTCTATAATTTTGTAGGATATCTTGGCACAAGTTCTACAGATACTGTTGAAATCAAAATTACTTGTAAGTACTCTTGGTTTTCTTATGACCTGCTTAACATACAGTGAAATATGTTAGACTATTTATTGTTTGTTTCTTTGTTTATTTATTGCAGGTTTTAGAAGATGAAAATGCAAATGTTGATGAAGTGGAGTTAAAACCAGATACTTTAATAAAACTGTATCTTGGTTACAAAAAGTAAGCAGCATGCATCACTTAGATGTAATGGGTAGCATCCTCCTCTGCTTTCAAAATCTGGGTGAAACCTAATATACTTGGGAAGCAAGCTTCAGGGTTCAAGTGCCAATTCAAATGTAGATCCAATGTGTGCCAGCATTAAGGGAAAGGGCTGGTGAGTGGTGGGGGTTGGGTGTGATTTCAGTTCTTTGACTCTGACTTTGTCATGAAGGTAAAATAAAGGTAAGGCCTGACATATTTTCGTATGCTCTTTTTGTTCCTTAGTTGTCTAATTCTTGAATAATTGATTCAAGTGCTGCTGTTTTGCCAAGGTGTTACTCGCACGCACTCCATGGCAAATCCATGATTTTTATAAGGTTACACTAGTGTCCAGTGAGCAGCAAAGGTCAGAGGCATAAATGTTCATCCGCTGCTGCTAACACTAGAAGATAAGGCTCGTTTTATAACCACGGTGTATACAGTGATTTGAAGACTTAATAAACACAATTTTCAGTAGGTTTTATTACTTACTTTAAACAGTTGTGCATTTTAAGCTGTTTACACCACTGTGGTACTTTTTATCATGCTTACCAGAGCATAGATATAAACACACATAAATTCAGTGAGGAGTTCAGTACTTCCCGAAGATAAGATCTCAGGTGAAAGAAACATTTTAAAACCTTTCCTTGTACCTTACCTCAACTTACCCTTTATCCAAAATAAAGGCTTGAGAATTCATGGTCTGTTGCATTAATGCAGTGATGCAAACAGCTCAGTGTTGCTGCATTGTGCAGCAGCTGGTTCCCAATTTATGATGGAGAGCACTGTGCTAAATAAATAACAGATCTTCTCGGTGCAGCTAACAGGTCTGAGCAGAGCCCTGTGCTCCCTGGTGCTCCGATGCTGAAGTTTCCTCCCCACTTGTGACAGAGGACTTTGTCTTGAGTGGTCACGTGTGGCAGTGGGCTCACCTCAGCACAGCTGTCAGTGCCAGGGAGTGTGTGAAAGAAAAGCAGAGCTCAGTTCCACAGAACAAACAGATTTCTCCACATTATGCTCAGAATCCAGTCTTTAAATCAGGTGATTCTGCTTCCATTTACTTCCTTTATCCCCTTCACTGATTCCAAGCTTCTTACTACACACAGTAATATTTTGAATACAGTGTAACTGTACAGTGAAAGTTCACAGATCACTAGGATGGATTCAGTAAGCTGTGAGATACATAGACACCCACCAGAAAGGTATTTTGTTTCCTTGGTTGGTTGTGGGCGTTCTTTATTTTTATTTTATTTTTTTAAGCTTGAATAAGAGCATCTAAGTTTTCAGAAGAGCCAAAGTCCTTTATTGTTGTAAAATAATTATGGTGCTGTGGCTTTTATTTTGGAGTTGGGTTTTGTTTGGAGTTTTTTCTGTGTTTCTTAGGTTTTTAAACAGTCTAATTGTTCATTAACTTCTGCTTTTCTTTACAGCAAAAAATTAAGGGTAAACATCAATGTGCCAATGAAGACTGAACAGAAGCAGGAGCAAGAAACTACACACAAAAATATAGAGGAAGACAGGAAACTACTGATTCAGGTGGGTTTTATTGCAGAATGCTGTCATGGACTCAGAATCACATCTTTGTAATCATTTAATTACACTTACTTTAGGGTTTTCCTAATTTTTAGTAGAAGACAAAATGCTCTAACTACATTAGAGTTCAAAAAATGTATTTAAAATATTGTAAAAGGTGATTTGAGTCTGTAGTAGAAACTGGAGGAAGGCACTTCTACAGACAGAATGTGTTCATTCACATTGTTCTAACCTGATGTTGTTGAGTGCTTGGGTTCCTTGGATACACGTTCACCAGACCTTGTCCTGGGTGAAAACTGAATAATATAAAAATAGTAATACAGGTAGTATAAAATCAACAGTGGTTTTATATTAGTTCATTTGGAATCCACTTGAGAGGCTGTGGAAGGAAATACAGATGTACTAGTAAGACAGTGTCACAGTAAGGTTAAATATATAAAGAAAGCTTTTTGCTACACAAGTAGTTTTGTGTGGCTCTTGTTACCAGTTGGTGCTTTTATTATTATGATTGACTGACTGTAAGCACAGTTCTAAAAATTCATGTGTCAAAACCACTTTTGATGACTGTATGCTGTGGAGACTCTGAGTTCCTGAAGTCTGTGTGAGTAGCTGACACTCGTGGGCAAGCTTCTCCCTGTCTGGTGCTCGAGTTGGTTGTGGTGGTGATCTAGGGGAGTTAAATGGCTTTACACAGAGGGACAAGTACTTTGCTCCTCAACACACCTTCCCAACTTCGTTGTGCAGGCTGCTATTGTGAGAATCATGAAAATGAGGAAAGTTCTAAAACACCAGCAACTGCTTGGAGAAGTGCTAACACAGCTGTCCTCAAGGTTCAAGCCACGAGTTCCTGTAATTAAGGTATGTGAGACCTGCATCTCTGAACCTGGATTCCAGGAGGTGAGGATATATACACAGACAAAACACATGCTTCTGAATTAAAAAGGAAAATTAAGGAGATGGGACGGATTTTTTTTTTTAGTTGCAAGTAGGAAATATTTAAACCAGAAATACTGCACTTCTTTTAGGGTACTCTCCATGTTTCACATTGTTGGCAGTGGTGGTAAAATAGTAGCTGGATTGCATCTTTTGACATCAGTATCAGCTTACCATTGCCCTTGTTCCAGGTTTTCCTTTTGTTCCTTCTTTCCTAGTTGTGGAACAACAGTCAGCCCTGGGATTAGCACGATAAAAGTTTCCTGCTTTCCTTTACAGTAAAAATGTTGGGGAAGGGGGCATTGTATTTAATTATTTACTCATAATTATATTGATTATATTATGAATTCATGTATATTAATTTCTTCATCAGTTTGTTTTAGTGAGCTCACCAGCAGTTTTTATATCCACAACCAATGGGTAGATGAGGCAAAGGACAGACAGTGAGAGCAGTTGCATAAACTGGCACTGCCAGTGCTGGCAGTGACACAGCTCCTCACTGCTGCTGCTCTCTTTCTTGACCTTACACAAACTCTGCATCTTGGTGTAATTCTTTATTTGCTGTCTTACTATGAAGTTGCTCAACATACTGATGATCTCCCAGTCACACCCCTGGAATGGCATCCAGTAAGTGTAATTCAGTTTAGTGGATTAGCAAAGCCTTCTGCTTGGATGTGGTCAGAAAGAGAAGAGTGAACTGCTGTGGTTTGCATCCTTTGCCTATTCCTGTCTTCTGTTTGGCAGGGAACTCCCTCGGGGGTCAAAATCAAAGTTTGGAGCAACCCCAGAGAGGGCTTTTATGCCCATGTCCCACAGCTTACCTCTGATCTGTTCCTCCCACAGAAATGCATCGACATCCTCATTGAGAAGGAGTACTTGGAACGTGTAGATGGTGAGAAGGACACCTACAGTTACTTGGCTTAGCATTTTTATTAGCAATTACCTGACTGTGTGACACTCGGCAAGTAGGTATGTGATGGAAAGAATGAAAGCGACAGAACTTCATAGCAGCCACCCTGCTGCCATTTGGACCTCCCTTTTTAATGACTGAGACCAGGACTCCATCAGCCAGTCTCAGATTTACATCAGAACTGCTCAGGATTGATACATTTCAAGTATGTAAATATGGACACCAATGCCATTTAACCTAATTTAAGAACAGAAAGGAATCAGACCCTTCTCATTTAAGGGTTGCATGCTACTGCATTTAAATCAATACATTGGCTATATGATAAACAGCTGCCATCACTGGCAGCACTTATACATGTTGGCAGCACTTGGAGAGCGAGTCTGAATGGACCCATGTGTAATCTGCTATGAAAAACCATTTGTATAGTGTGTTTCATTTTTTAATGTGTGATAAATAATAAAAACAAATTAAAAGATTTCTGTACAAGTTGCATTTGGTTTTATTGTTTTAAGTTTCATGAATTATCTTTCTAAATGTAAATAAAAGGTATAATGGTTATGAAAGCTATTAGGAATTCGTTTTGCTTTTCCTCCCCATTTTCTGGTGCGTTAAGAACATTTTCTTCTCTGAAGATACTGTCTATATCATTATCTGTGCATGTTATTTCTTTTTGAAGAGGAAATGTCTGCACTTCGAAAATAAATTTGTGATGATTTCAAAAGATATGCAGAACAGAAAATACTCAGAATGTATGTGGCAATGCTTGGTCATCTGAAATTGGAGCCTGTTTTAACATTGCTCATTGTGCTATAAAAGTGCATCACACTTGCATAAATGCTGCCTAGAATAAAGGAGGTTTAGGCTGCCCATTTCTTTGACTGGAGCAGAAAATTGAGTGTGTTCCTGAAGAGCAATTCCCATTAAATGCAGCCTGGAATGGGAATTAAAATACTTTCAAGTGTTACTACACATACCTTAATTGAACAGGCCTCATTCCATTCTTCTCACAACATTTAATGAAATTAGTATTGGCTTTCCATATGCTACAAGCAAAACGCTGCCATCCTCACAGGTTTCACTTTTGGTAATCTATATTTTCTCATCTTGATCGTGGAAAGAACGTCTGTAGCCATTTTACCCTGTATGCAAACTGTGATTTTATTTAGTTTCTTTTCGCAGGAAAAAAAGCCAGGTTGTTACTAATGTTTCTCTTGACAGAAACTAATGGTTACAGTTGAACTCTGGGTTAAAAACAAAACCTGAGCAGTACTAGAAGGGAGGGGTGTCATCTGCACTTGAGATTTTGTATTTTTGGTATTTCTTTTCTGAAAGAGCTAAAGACTGCCATTAGGGGCAATAGAAGCATCTTGCTGCTCACAGTTGCTTTTGGAAGTTCAGAAGAATGGAGCTGGTGATGTCGCTTAATTTTATTTTTTTTTTCCCTAAGATGCTGGTTTGGCTTTGTAAACCCTTCTTGCAGAAAGTTCAGGGCTAATAGATTTGTTTGGCAGGATCTGTGTGCTATGATGACAAAGAAGCAGCCTGAACTCCTTTCTTAGTTGGATGTCCAGAAATCACCTTCAAAGCCCTTGGCTGGTTAAAGCAGTGCTTTGTGTACTGTGCATCCTTCAGATCAAGAACTGTGCTCTACCTGAGCAGGGAGAAAATCAGGTTTTTACTTTTGAACTGTTCTTTTCCTTATGAACTCCTAGTTCTTACTTGAGCCACTACCAAGGCGGCGGGCTCTACGTGGAGTGTGGAAGCAGGAAGAGCTGAATTCAGCCCCAGGCTTAGAACCCCCTCAGTGCAGCAGGTAAATGGTCACCGTGGACAGGATTTCATGGACTCAGTTTGGCAATAATGCCACCCTGTGCCTGCCCTCTCACTCCAGTTGATTTGCCCAGAGCATTGTGTTCTACTCCACAAGAGGCTGCAGAGTTCACAATCCACTAGCAAGAAATGTGGTAGCCCTGTACAGACATCTAGCTGCAATCTAAATGTTTCTCAATGAAATTTACACATTTCCCTTCTGCATCTCTTAACCTTTTAATATATGTGTTCATCATTCAGTTTGTTGCTTCAGACAAGCCACAGTGAGGGCACCTTTACCACAGTTTCGCCTTGAAAGTAGCGTTTGTCACAGAAATCACAGCTATTCTGGCAATTGTAGGAGTTTCTGGGCTGCAGCCATTACTCCAGAGAGCAGGGATGTAACTGCATGCTGAGGGAGCTGAGAAGCTGCAAGACCCCGCTTGTCTCACTTAGGCACTGCAGCACCACAATCACCCGACTGACATCTACACTGTTTCCATCTTTACACTGTTAATAAAGGTGACCCAAAGTAACAGGAGAAAAGTATGGAGCGGCCTTTGCACAGAAGTTAGTTTCAATTCACATTGCTTTCTCAAGGGGCTGACACAAAATTTCAACTCGATTCCAGTAAAAATGAAGAAGTTCAAGTATCCTTTATTCAAGGTTGAAAAATGTACCACACCACATTATTGCAAAAGTTCATAGGTACAAAACACTTTGCAGCTGGTGAGAAGGCAATAAAAAGTTGGTTTTTTTAAAATTTGTTACTATAAATTACTGTTACAGTACTTTGCAAATACAGAATTTCAAATTGCATCATTTTTATTTTTCTAAAATTGCCCACAGTACTAGAAATTCCTGAAGATAAGGCAGCTGTTTGTTTAAAAGAAGAGGTAGCTGGTGTCAAGGGATTTCCATTTCTCTTTCAATGCCCACATACTTAAGGGCATCAGCTTGGCTATATCTGAAATTAAAAAAAAAAACCAATCAAAATCACAAAGAAGTAGTGTCATGGAACATTTCAGTTTCATTATCCTGACAGAATGACACCACAGCCTGGAATACTCAGATTTCCCATCGTTTCTTCAACAGCTGGGGTGTTTCTTCCTTGTGTGAATTTGCAGGTGAATAGCACTGCTGACCCATTCAAGAAACTACTTTCAGAAGTGTTTGATCAAGAGGAGACAAATCATTAAAATTCCATACTTTTTTACCTTGAATCTCCCAGTCCTGAAGTTCATTTTCAGGACTGGAAAGCAACTGCATCTCTCCAGGCTGACCTACACAGTATTGCCACTGGACAGCTTGCTTTTTGCCAAGTAGGATGATTGTAGAGGAAATAAGGACACATTCTTAGCAAGCACTTGTTTGTAGTAATTCTGAAATTTCATTCTCTGAAATGCTTGCCTATTTCTGAATGAGGGGGGAGTTAACTTGTACTGATACCTAGGTAACCCAACCACAGAAAGTCTGTCCCCATTTGTCACTACACTTTGCTTTATATGAGCTGCTTTTCCAGGCTTGCAGGCTCTTAACGAGCTGCATTGCTGCAATCAGTCTTGCTATGGCATCTGGCTTAACAAAACCAATGTGGGGAGAGCTGCTTCTCAGCTGCTGAGACCTGAGGCTGCAGGGGCCAGGCATAACTCTGAGCTGCACAGATACTGCAAGCTAATTCCATCTGAAATCCATCTACCCACCTGTAGTCAAAGAACAGTTCTTCACCAGTCTGAATGGCTCTTTTAGCAAATATTCCTATTCTGTGATCACCATTAACCATCATAACTGTTTTAAAAGAAATTAGGTATGTTAGTACAAATACTGATAAAATGCATGCTAAAGAAATATGTCACAGTATTTCATACATTGATGAAAAGCAAGTAAATGAGAAACTTACCTTTTGCATAGCAGTTGGGATTTACTGAATGGTTTGCAAATCTAATTTTGTTGCCCTTGCGTGTTGCATCAACCACAAAATCTAGGGGAGTGGAAAAAACAACAAATCCCACAAATGATGGATGGGTCACCTACGAACACATTTTTGAGTTTAATACCTAGTGTGCTTGGATCTTAGCAGCTGAAGAAGATATCTGCAGAACTTGCCCCATGGAAGAGCTGGCCCACCACCCTACAACAGCTGAACTCTGCTGTTCCTTTACCTCCTGCCACAGTGGAACAGTGGCACCTTAGCTTCTCATTGAAGCTTCTCTACCTTTATTCCACAAGGACAAGCTCTGTAAATATGCTAAGTCAACACTGACATAAAGCAGCAGGTTTTTTTCCTCATTTCAACTATTTTCTAGTATTTTATGCTTGACATAGTGCAGTCTGTATTTTTCTCTTCTAATGGCAGCAGCCACATACCACATATCTGTATGTGGCTTTTTTTCCCAACACAATTCCCATCATAACATACTGCTGATTTAATTCAGTAAAATTACTTCAGACAACACCTGGCAAGCCTTTTACATTCTTTAGTCTACTTAATGTCTGCACATAATTTTATTCCATGAAGTTCTACTCCTCTTGTACAGTTGCTTGTGCAACAGGATCCATCACTACATCTAGCTGATGAACATTTAGAGAAAAAACCCCAAAGACTAACTATCAACAGGATGAATCCACACACTGATAGGGAAAGGTGTGAAAAAAAATGCTCATTGTTACCTGCTGTCTGTAGAAGAACAGGGCTGAACAAAATGCTAAGCATACATACTTTACTGGTACTGCCAAGGGTTGCAATTAGTGCATACATACCATTATTCAAGTTAAACAGAAAGCTGCACATGTATTTGTCGTACACTTTTCCTCTTCTGTCTGCCTCATCCTGAGAAATAATCTGAAAGAAGCACCATTTGTAAAAGAGAGAAGAACTCTTTACATTGTGTAACCACAGCAACTTAATGTCAACCCCTCCCAGCCTTTTGAAAGACAGGTGGGAGTTTTTTATATTCTCTAGGATTCGAAGTATTCCCAAACAAAGTGTAGTTTTCAGCAAGCATTCTGCACTTGCCAAACATCCATGCTTTGCTTTTAGCATAAATAAACTCTTTCAGAGCAGAAGAAAAGCAAGAATTGCTTCTCCTCTCAAAATCAGGACTGCATACCAGACTCAGGTTTTATTGCTATAGAATACAGCTTAGCGAAAGCTCCTACTGACTTTCAGTACTATACTAAATAATTTGCCACCAAATTCCAAGCATGTCTGAACTGAAATTCCATCTAAGATAAAAAGGACATTCCAGCCTCTCCTTCTCACAAGAACCTGTTCCAAAATTTTTGTGACATTCCAATTGTGTAGCTCCTGGGGTCTGAGCCTGTGACAGCAGTTGCAGCCTGTGACACTTAGCCAGCCACATGGCTCTGTCTGAACGTGATACCAGGTTACAGACAATGGCATCCCATGGTCGGTCCCTGTCAATGCATAACTATACCAATTAAGCTCATATCCAGTCTTCTCCATCCTTACCTCACCACAGTATTCAGAGATGAATTCATTCTTCTGTACAGGATCTTTGATAAAAATTCCCCAGCCTGCCACATCTGAAGGTGCCAACAGTAAGTGCTGTGGAATAGAAAAAACAAGAAGTTTTGATATGCCTGGCTTAGACTTGACTTCAGGGATTTTTTTTTTTCATTTTGTTTTGTATCACTTAGTTGTATCACTTAGAGAAATGTATAAGTTGGGACTCCAGGAGTGCAGACAAATCCAGAGTCTTCTAATGATCAAACACACATTGAAGTTACACCTTGTTGATCAGAAGATGTATATAAAAGAAAATTGACCAACTTTTTGAAAGCTACTGAAAATTTTGGTTTAATCACCCCAAGACACCATGAAATGAGGAGGTTACATAAAAATTAATTTACTAAAGATTTCAGCCTCAAAAGGTTTGCAGACAGAAGCCCACTACTCACTATCTCAGTAATCAACTATTCTGTGAGAAGATGTTACAGAATAGAAATAAACTTTGGCTTATTAATTTATTTGCCAGAACTGAACAGGCTTTCAAAACTTTAGTAGACTGTACACAAGTTTATACCTTAGAATCAACAACTGAAGAAAGAAACAGCTTATAGACTCTGGGATAAACTTCTTTATGCTGATCTGAGGAAAGATTGCTGAGGTCTTTAAAACAGCAGCCTATTTGCAATTACGAAGCAAAGCCTGATGGGGAAAAGGAGATATTCTGCTGCCATGCTGCACAGAAAATACTAATTGGTACGTGACAAAATGTAGATAGACTTAACAGCAGCACATGAGCAAGTGGCAACTCCTTTCCTTGCTGTATTGTTTGGTTTTTTGTTTTCTTTTCCACTTGGACAGCATGAAGGCAAAGAAATTCCATTCTCTGGCTTGAAAATATAAGAACACCTCAAAACCCAGGCAATAGACACGCAGTTGTATAACTGGACATACTTTTTTGGATCCTCTCTGAATGCTGCAGTTCTTGCAAGAAACATTTTTGCTGTCCCAGTGGTCAGCTGCTCCACAAGTCAGGCAGAGGTCAGGATCACACTCACGGACAGCCAGGTAACAGGGGCACTGCTTGGTGTTGCATTGTGCTTTACAGCGACACCCAGGAAAACGATTTTGGCCTACAAAGGAATGTGTAGAAAAGAAAAACAGCAAGTATGAAAAAATACAGTGTAAAATTAAACTGTGCAGATTATAGCATATCAGAATATTGGTAACACAGCCACTGATATCTGCATAGGAAATTCAGGAGTATTTGAATAACTCTCAATTTTAGGTCTGAAGGCTGCTTCTGATTTCATGCAATGGCCAGTTACAAGGGCCAAATTAAACTGAACATGCTCACACTGTTGGACACAATTTGCTGCTCCTGTAACTGCCTGCAGCATGGACAGACTGGTTGTACAGATGGTGAGATAGTGAGAGAAGTTTATAGATAACTTTTAAGTGTTTTAAATGTTTTACTTACATTCTGAGCTGCATTGACAAAACTTCTCACAGAAGTTTTGAGCAATTACACATGGACATGAGCTATCACAAGGCTGACGTGGGTGATCACATGGCTGATAGTTGTAAACGTGATTCGATGACCCATCTGAATAAAAATAGCAACATTTTGTAAAGTTGAAAGTTGCAAACAAACAATATACAGTTCCTCTCAGTCTAAGGCAGAAATTCCCTTTCAGTCATTTAACTAAGAAAGCCCAAATATGAACAAAAAACCCAAACCCACAACAAGTGGGGTTAAAAACCCAAAAGACACAAAACCAGAACTGTAACATTAGTGAGGTGTTATACACCATTAGCTGCCTTCCTAGTGCATCTCGTTCTGCCATTGCTCAGCTGCTTTGAGTATTCAGAGCTGAAAGCTGTTTATGTGGAAAACTGAGAAATGAAACTACAATGGTGTAATTTCCTGTCTGAACATGTTTTGGAATAGCACTGATATTATTCAGCAAAGTAAATTTGCTTAAATACTGAAAGCAATTTTTAATGTGGAACAACAGTCAACTTTGAAACAGGTAACACTGGCAATGTAATCCCATTATTATTATTACTATACCACTGTGCTTTCCCAAGTCAATTTTCCAGTACAGACAATGCTGAAGGCTTCTAGGGAAGAAAGGAACTACCAGGGACAAGTCTAGAACATTACCTATACAGTAGCTAGGAGAATTTGGTGCTATGTAAATTATATTTGCTATTAATACTCCTGAGTTTGTAAATTTGTAAAAATGCTCAAGTTAACAATCAGCAACAAAAAATGAGAGAGACAAACTGATCAATTATTTATGTTGCTAGAAGTCCCAACTATTCTCAATAACTTTTCAGAGAACTATTTCTAAATTAAGCTGGCTTACCAAAAAAAAAAAAAAAAAGCACTTTTTACTGCAGCTCCTATCCTTTATACCATTTTTACCAGTGCTTCAGTGAAGCCATACTGGAAAGATAGTAAACTCAGCCTCCTTTCCTTTTTATGGAATTATACAGAGCTCTTCCAGCTATGCAAACCAAAGAGCACCTTTTGTCCCTACAATATGTGTAAGCAAGATTTTACGTTTTTAATTTTCGTTCCCCTAAAATTTCTAGCTCCCCACAGAACATACATAATGGCCTAACATTAAAAAAAAAACCAAATAACCAGCCCCCCCCACAAACAACCAAAACAAAAAAAAAGCAATAGTAGAATCTTAAAAGTTCAGGACATAAATTGAATGGAAAGATGCTAACCCTTTTTCAGCTGTATCTTTCTGCAATGAGCAGCCCACAACCTGCAAAAACACAAAACAAACAAGAAGGTTGACAGGAACTCCTCCTGCAGTGGGCTGGGAAAGGCAGCTGCATTTGCACCCACACTTGACTCAAGATGGGAAAGTTTCTGGAGACAGGAACACCTGCTAACCGCACACGAATCAGAGGGGCTGCAGCAGAATCACCCTGTCCCAGCCTAGGGCTTGACCAGATCAGAGCTGTGCAGGCTGCTCCCCCCACTCCCCACACCGTTCCTCTAGTCCCAGGATTGCACAGATGAGCAGTCCCCACCCAGCCCAGCGCAGAGATGCTTAAATTCAGATGCCCTTGAAGGAAACCCTGCCAAGAGCAGGCTGCTGGAGCTGAGTAGCAGTGAAAGAAGGATACCAAGTTGCAGATCTGGAGGGACACACCTCCTAAACAGGGGGTCGAAATGGGACAGCTGTTTGCTCCACAGGACTCAGCCCCAGCACCACTCTGGCTGTCGCTTACAGATCACAGCCAGGTCCCACCCTTCACCTGAGGAGCTCCAAGTACTTGACAGGAGACAGTGCCTGCCTGGCACAGCCACACTGATGGGACCTCAGTATTCCTTCTGGCTGGACACTTGTCCCCAGTTGTCCTGGCTGGTGGTGCTGCACTGAGCCTTTCCCATTCTGCTTCAAAGCCTACACTCCTTTCTCTCATGTCCTTACACTTTTCCTTCGGTGTCCCCTTTCTCAGGTAGCTCAGCCAAGCACACCCTTTGCCAGAAGTGGTGCTCTTGTTGTGTGGTGGATTTTATTATTTGTGTTTGTGGCTTTTCTGTGGTTAATTTTTAAGAGTAACATGCTTTTTGGTTAGCATTCACTATATTTGAAAGTTCTTGCGAGTTACATTTACCCCTTCATTTTGTATCCATTTCAGATTGCAAGTTCTTTGGCCAGGGAATGTCAGCTATTCCATAAAACAGTGTGTCAGAAACAATCAAGCAAAAACATCTATCTGGACATTTAGTACCAAAAGAAAAACTAGACTTTTAATTTCAGTAGCCTTAAAATTAAAGAAGAAATCAACTGTTTTATTTTTTTCTTCAATTCTATGCATTTTAGTTACCACTTGTATATAGTGAACACACATAACAAAAAAATTAGACTAAGGATTTTCAAAGTTTATACTTCTTGGACTTCCTTAGTATATCATGTAACAACATGAAGACAATATGGGAGAAGCCTCATTCCCTGGCCAAAAAATACATTGCCAGCCGCATCAACAATCTCATTTTCCCTGCAGATTTACTGAGCTGCCCAAAACACTCATGACACAGGTACTAAAAGATCCCCAGCACAGAACACCTACAAAAGCTATTTTGCCTTTCACTGAATGCAACACTCCTCAGAAGTTTGCACTCTGAAAAAATATCTCCCATTGTAACTACTTAAATAGGACTTTTTCACTGCTACTTCTTTCATAAAAGCATAGCAGCTTTTACTTCAACCAAATGGTGTGCAGCACCCTCCAACAGCTTCAGATAAATAAGATTCTCTACAAAATTGCCCTTCTACAGCCTAACTGTGAGATTTAACTCAACAACCAATTTTCTTACAAGCACTGAATGAGTCCATACAAGTTAGAAACCCACAAAAGCAGATTTGTCCAAGTAACTAAGATTGAGAGGAAGGAAGAAGCCCAGCATCACAGAGTACTGTAATAAATAGATGAAATTCCTATTAAGAGTGATTCGCTCTAGAAGAAAAGGCTACCAACATATATTTATGAATTATGAGACACTGACTCTGCAAGAAGACACTTCCCACATGCCTGAAAGGAGTGCAATTTTGACTTAAATTGCTCTAATGCACACCAAACTACTTTCTTTCTTGTCTACCTGGTGTTTGGAAAATGTAACATACCATATTTTTGAACAAGTCTTTCACAGAAACTTGTCTGTCACCCCAAGATAATAAGAACCTACTAGCACAGCAAACCCTTAAAAGCATTCTGTGGCCAGACTTCTTAAAATACTCTTTCATTAGCAATTAGCTTCACTTTTTCTCCTAAGGTAAGCACTATCCTAATACTTTAAATGCACACAAATGTGCATACACATCAACAAAGCATTAATAGTAACAAGTCAAAGCAGAAGGAAAACTACAGGTGGTGGTCATAATGGGAAAGGCATCCATCTGCTCTGCCCCTCTTCTGGAGAGACTGGTGCCACAGGAGGGAGAGGGGGCTGGAGACACACAGTGGCAGCAGAGCTGTGGGGAATGACAAGGCAACAGGAATCAGGCTGCCAACACTGACCAACTCGACAGGAGTTTTGACCGGCACAATCCAATAGTACATTCACTGCCTTGTAACTTCCAAAAACTGCCACAAAACACTCAAGTTCTGGTTAGTGCACAAAACTGGAGCCTGGGCAAGCACCATACTAAAGGCAGAGTCATATTTGTATCTGCCCTATATAAATCTGCCATCTCAAACAGAAGCAAAAGGCAAGACCTGGTCCCATGCAGCAGGAAACAAAGGCAAGGAAAAGATAAAGTTGAAAAAGCAACTTGAAGCTTCATTAAAAAAAACCAGCTGGAAACTGCATAGCAAGTTTCCAAGCAAGCTGGTGGATTTGTGCATCTGGCTGCTGACATCTGCAGGACAGGCAACTTAGAAAACAAGTGTTTCCAGGAGCATCACAACAGCAGCTGTCAAAGATATTGTTCTTCTCTCCTAACAACCTACTAGACTTGTAAACTTTGCCAGTGGTTTTAGGCAGCAGCAGTGTCAGCCAGCCTGACACTAAAAACACTCTTTGGAAGAAGCTGCTCCAGCATTTCGCGTTTTGCACAAGGATACTCTGCTATCAAAAAAGAGCACTAAAAATTCAAAATACATGTCAAATCTGTCAATATGTAGTTGAATCTTTGCAGTGTTTGATTTTCTGGCATCACTCAAAGACTTCAGTCTCCCAGATCATCTTATCCACAGCCTCCCCACCACTCCAAGACTCAGCCTTCCAACCAGGTAGCACATCTCATCTGTGCCAATGCCTCAGCTGCACCTTTTGCCTGATAACAGTGAGACTTTAAATCCCTACAAAAAGGCATCCTGAACTCTTGGCAGAACTACATAATCTATTCAAACACATGCAGTGAACAGCAGTCTAGCAGAAGGTAGGTACAGGAGGAAACTAAGAAAGGAGGGGGAAAAATAAAATACTTTTAAATAAAATTACTAAGTGGCCTCTGAATAGGGGATGAGGTAGAAGAAGAAAATCAAAATAAAGAAGCAGCTTTAGATGGCCTTAAAACCAGTACCAAAATAGAGGAAGGAGTGCTAATTAATTAAAGCAAATTCAACTCAGCTCCTAGCAATGGAAGAAAAAAAACACATGAAAGAATGTACAGTACTGAAGTACACTCTCCCTCCAGCATACACTCCTGCTTTTCAGAATTCTTTCTTCACTAAGATTTTTTACTGGCTTCTATGCAAAGTACTCACTTCTCGTCAAGGCAGTTTTCTCAAAATAACAGGTTAATCTGATATACAGGCCAGGCTCTGACACTGGTTCTCCAAAAAGCAACTATATTAGAAGCTGTCTTCTCCCACTGGTTAGCTTTATTACAGCTATCTTAACAAAAATGACACAGGAAGGAGGGAGACAAGACATTTCATTATCCAAGAGGGGTGCAGTCTTCCCAGCTCAGTACACCCATAAGGCACCAAGATGATATGGGAAATAGGCAAAGTCTTGCAAGAAAAGACTTTATCTGCTCTCAAACCAGTTATAAGAGGCCAGCAAAAGCAGCCTTTTGCTGCAGCTTTTCTCTCTGGTGATGCTGCTTTAGCTCAAAGGCACACACACACATGGAAAACATGCAGACAGGTAAGAGCCTTGCAATAGAAAAGGGCAAAAGGAAAAGAAGGGCCTTCCTGGCTCCAACTCTAAGAGTGAGTAAACTCAACTAAAATAAAGATAAGAAAAAGAGGAAGATTTCCAGATTGCTGGTTGTGGGAGATCTTCAGAGTGCTCAAATTACAGCAGGATGTAGGCAGGCTAAACTGCTTTCCTTTTTAAAAAGGCTACTGCCACAGAAGAATGGAGACAGCTTGATTGACACATATTCTGGGACATTGTATTTGTAAAATTATGTCCTTCCTTCAATGAGAATTTAAAGAAGTAAAGGGCATTTCAAAACTAAATCACTACCAATAAAGTTTTTATATTGGCAACTAATAAAAAAGCAAATGAAGTCAAGAAACCCCATGCAATGGAGTGTGCTTTCATTTACTTGGGGAAAAAAAAAAAAAAACCTCCTAAACAAAAAAAAGTCTGAGAAGTCCTCCAAAACAATGTCAGTCTGGTAATCATACAATCCATTTCAGCTGCAAAAATCTGTTTGATCCTTTTAGCTGCTCTTTTGAATAGATGTAGTGGCACCATTTTTACAGCAATTTGTGTGAATCTGACAGCAAGCTAATTCTCAGCTACATATTCCAAACTTGCATCGTGGCTAATAATCTAAATTTAAACGGCCAAGCCCACCAAATGCCCAAACACTTGAAAACTGTGCCAAGAGCATTAAAATCAATAGCTTTTGCTGAGAACAAAATCTTTTCCAGATGCTCACTCAATCTTTTCCCAACTCACGTTGCCTGCGTCTATGCTACAAAGCAAAAATACTCTACTCCATGTCTACAGGATCATTTAACCAGTTCAGGAATTTCACTAGGCCTGGAAATAATAAATAGACAAGTTAAGACAGAAGCAAGAAGAATTGATGGGAGAAGAACTGGAAGGATAAACTTGAGGGAAAATAAGGGAAGTTAAAGGGAGAAATAGTAAATTATATGGGGAAAAGTGTACTTATTTCTTGCTAAAGAAATGTTTTTGCTAATTTTCAGTCAGCTTTTAATCGCCTATGTTCTTATCTCTCAGAATAAAAATAATCAGTGTAGAGCTGCATTCTCCAAACCTCAGAATTCTCAAAGAAAAATGCATTTCACTGACAGACAGTAGCCACCAAGTTTTGCAATTTCAACATAAATTGTGTCAAATAATCATTGTGGCTCCAGAAAAGCATAATTCTGTTCTTCACTGCAGCTTCACTTCAAATAACAACTCGTTAACCTGGTTCTTAAGTTGGTGTTCTAGGTGCTAATGCAACTGGGGTGCTACAAAGGGATAGTTTCTCCTAAAAAAAAAGGCAATCCTACTTGCTTGCTATCTGAAGCTTGCTAGAATACACCTTACCATTTAAAAAAACATAAGTTTTAATTTTAAAATACCATATAATCATTACTCAATCCTAGTGAAACACTTCTGAATTTAATGTTTATTGCTGTAAAAAATAATTATACCACACTATCTTGAATGTTGCAACAAGATGCATAGGTGATTTCTAATCTAAACATAGTTTCGACTACTTGCATCAATACACCTACAGGAAGCTGGCTGTTAAAGAGCTTAAAAAGAAAGGAAAGCAAAAGAAATGAGGAAGGCTATAGTTGCCAATGCAGTAAGATTTTGTCTAAAACTAATACACCATTTTTTTTAATTGCTGCAACTTTTGGTTTTGGAAGCAAAAGAAGAGCTGCACAACTTTTCCTCCAAAACATTTTCTGTTCTGATCCCCTGTATCTCCAGTTTATTGTTATGCTAAGGGTATTTAGTAACAGATTTACCTGTGTTTCCTTTTCTTCTTTCTGGGAGGAGTATCAACATCTTCAGCAGGGACTGGTGCAATAATACTAGATTCCTTTACTCTAAACTCATACACCTAACAAGAGATACCATAACACATCCACGATAAATCTCTCACTAGTACAAAGTTGCTCATATTCTAAGTTAGTATGATTTCCTCCAACCAACAACTTACAGATTATATCCAGTCATAGTCTCTTTTCAATATATTTAAAGTTGATTATTTTTGTCATTTAAGAACTGATACTCTAATTTAAACCTCCTGTAAATTTAACTTAAAAACAGTTTTAAAACTAACTTTTATGTATTTGTGGTATGAATTCTGAACCATAGCATTCTTGGGAAAACCAAGAAAATTAATTACTTTTCCTTTTTAGTAATCAATACTAGTATTTGTATACTTTAGCTTTAAAAGTAAATCGCTATGACTCTTAGCAAGTAGCTTCCCTTCTTACCTGTCTGCACGTTTTGGTCCCAATCAGTCTGGCAATTGCACAAAAGTTGTCATAGTAGGTGCCAATAAGAACTCTAAACATTGAAGCTTCTGCACCACTCCATTCCACGTTCTCTGGAGGCTCAATATTTGGCTTCATCTTTATTGGTGTTTGACACCTAGAATTTGCTTCTATAATAAATATTTGAGAATAAGACTACATATTAAAATTTACATTACCCTTCACAATTTCAAATCATTAACTGCAGTTAAAAAAAAACCCAGGTTTTTTGTTGCAGTTTCCTAAGTGCCAGAAAAAACAAGCACTTTTCACATGCCTCTTGCGGAAGCTAACAGTAGCTACTTAAATTAATGACCTACACATAAACTGAGACAATACAGACATTCTCTTACAGGTTGATTAAATTCATACTATTATTCTGTCTTTTCACTTAGTTCTATACATTCTAAACACACATTTTCAAGGATTGTTCGCCTCAACTTGTTTTGGCTTTCTGTTGGTTTTGTTGCATTGGTTTTTTTGTGGTTTTGGTTTTGTTCCATCCTCTCAAGCACCGCAGCTCATGGAATAAGCCGCACTGACCAGCCTTACCAGAGGAACTGGATGTTTCGTCTTTCTTTTCTTCTTCCTCTTTATCGTTGTTTTCCCCGCCGGTTTCAGTGCCAGCCTCTCGATCGCTGTCCGTGTCCTTGGACTCCAGAACGTTGATGGTGGGCGTGCTGGGCCTGCTGGTGTTGTTGGGGAGCCGTCCCCTCCGGCGGCCGCCGGGGCGCTTGGGCGGGGTCTTGATGCGCTCCGCCGTCAGGGCAGCTGCAAACTCCTTTGCGCCTTCCTGAACACAAAACATCACCATTTCAGCAAACCAATCGAGACGCGGCTCCACTTGTGGGAGAACACCTTCTACTTGCCTCCTGAGTAACTTCCCATTGTTGTACAAAATAATTGTGTGCACCAAAGTTCCAGTTAAAGGCACTCCAAACGTGAACACAAGTACTTCTGATGCTACCATGAAAAAAATCTACACTGACAAAGTATTCATGTTAGTACTTCGGTTCACCTTCTACTTTGGCTGCCAAATGAAAAATAATTCAGTAGTAAATTTCTATTTCCCCTGATGACAGAAAAAAATTAGAATTTCCCACAGAGAACACCCATAAAAATACAAGAACTTTTCTTGCATATAGCACTTATACAGTATGTGTTCTGCATTTTTTAAAATGCAAGCATTGGTAACTTGTTTTCTAGTGGAAAGGGGTATGATATAGTGTAGCAAGTTTTCAGATGGGAAAATTGCATAGTTTCTCATACTAAAAAATTTAGGAGAATTACGAGAGAGATTTGAAATTATAGCACTCAAGATTTCACTTTATTAATTTCCACCCTATTGCTTCTTAAGAGCACAAGTCCCAGATGGAATCAACCTTTGGCAACCTAAAAAACCTTTATATTTTTAGTTGTGATATAATTTACAAGAGCGCAAAGTCTGCAGTTCCTTGAATCGATTGGACAGAATAGCAGCAACACCATTATTAGGTGATAGTAGTATTTCTTCCCTACAGATATCTCAGGCTACATCCACAATATTCCTACTTAAGATGATTGAAAGTTAAACATTTTTTTTCTCGCAGCAGCTGATGGTAACATACTTGACTGCAAATGACCCACAAGCAGATGCACTATCCTAGATCCAGCATGCCCTTAGTTAAGTATCCTGCTATACTGCAGCCAGCACTCAGTGAATTGTGACATATAAAATTATCTTACCAAATGTTGATAACAGTGAGGTCCACAAGGCTTATTATCTAATGCTGTTTCTGTATTCTTTCGCTTATAAGTATTGGGAGTTGCATGGAATGCTGTTAAATCAAAACATCACATTTTTAAGTTTTCATATAAAAATACATTGAATATGTAACCTCAAACTGTACGCAGAACACAAGGTTACCAAGACTTTACTAAAACAGAATAAAATACTAACAAATGGAATGAATAAATAAATAATAAAATAAACCCCATGTAGTGACATATGACTTACCACTTAAATACAGAGAAAGCACATAGGCAAGTTTCACATATCGTGGAATGGTTTGGATTGGAAGGGACTTAAAAATCAGCTCCTCTCTGCCATGGGCAGGGACATCTTCCACTAGACCAGGCTGATTAAACCCCATCTAGCCTGGCCTTGAACATTGTCAGGAATGAGGCAACCACAGCTTCTCTGGGCAACCAGTTCCAGTGTCTCACTTCCCTCATAGTGAAGACATCAAATGTAATGTTCCTTACATCAAACGTAAACCTATCCTCTTCCACTTGAAAGCTATTATGCCCATTTACATCAACAAATAAAATCACTACATTTGTTTTATGTATCAAGGAAGATTTTGTGCATCTCCATTTCCAACAAAAGAACAGACTTTACTTTTTTGTCATGTTAAACAGAATTACTCAGGGCCTCTCCTATTAATGATCACCTTTTCAATGTGTAAGATTCAGTTGTTAAATTTCTATCTTGCCAAAAAATCCAACCCCATGCACACTTTGGAAAGGTAGTAGGACCCACTTTACATTTTCATCGGTGAGAAGGACACAAGTTTATTATGCTCTATTAGTTTATCAGCACTCCAGCTAAGCGGACAGGATTTAAGAGTTCAGTTCCCAGCTGCAGGGTAAAAACAAGTTAGCATTGCACAGTCACTCTGGATAAGTGAGCCAAGTCTGCACCTTGCAGAGAAGTGTCTGGTCCTGTATCTGAGGGACTCTGTACAGCTCTGTGAAAGCTGCAGAACACTGACTCAGAAAGGAGCAGAACTGGGTATGTTACACATGCAACACGAGCTCCTTGATAACAGGAGAGCAGAGTTTCCTACCCAGTCTCTTTGCCAGAGCCAGCTCTCCTCCTGGGCAATCCCTGTCTCCTAGCAGGGTGTTTTCAGGGAAACTGACTTTTCACAGTTTTCTGGAAGTCTTACAGAGACTGTATCCCTTACAGAGCTTTTCTGAAGCCTGGAACACCTGCCACTAGACTCTCACCAAAATTCCTAATAAAATGTGCGAGCATGAATGTATGAGCTTTGAGAGATAATATCATTAGTTTTCTGCAATTTTTAAAAACAACTCATCTGTGCTCAAGGAAAAAATACTTTGTTTTTTGAGAGATGCCAATAAATCCTTTTTCCCTCTAAATCTGTAAATAGTGGCATACAGAACTGCAATGAACAAAAATGAAGAATGGACTGAAATTTTAAAAATAAGAGAGTACTCAGTGCTACCTGTCTGTTTGCTAATGCTCCATGAAGGCCCAGGAGAGATGCTCAACTTAAAATGTGCAATTTCCAAACTATGCAGAAGCACTTATGCTGCAGTTTCACTGCAGCTGCAGTTGGGTAACTGTAACTTACAGTGAAGTTTATAAGAATTCAGTGAATAAAAATTGCTAATATGTTCAAAACTAAAGAAGAAATCCCTCCCCTCCTACCCATAATAATCGAAAAGGGCTGTTCCACACCAACACTCCACACAGCTCCTTCATTAAGCCATTTCCTATTAATTTTATTTCCAGATCATGCTCGAGACTTCTCTCTATGTCTCTATGTCACTATGCTTTAAAGACCCAACTTTTTAAATGCACTTCCTTCCCAGTTAAAGCATGTGGGCAGAGCTCATATCTTCCCAGGCAAGGCTTTTAAAAGCAAGCTTCATTTCAGTGGTCTGGCTTGCAGCATAGCTCTGCAAACACCTGTTTTGGCAGCAGTGGGGAGAGTTCCATCCTGGAACCTTGGAAACACTTCATGTTTCCCTCTCATAAAGGAGGGTGAGTTGAAAAACCAAATAATAAATTCTACAATACTGTGCCTGTATTAATGATAGCAGCACATGGGAACCCCCCAGGAAAGCAATGTACTCTTCCAAAGCTTTCTTAAAATGGTATTAACAAAATATAAGCAATAATAAGTAAATATTACATCCCTTTCTCCAGACAAATATGCTATATTTTAGAGATCTGGAAACATTAAAAAGCTTTCATTTGCTATATAAGGGCATATAGATATATCAAAATTATTTACGAGCAAGTATAGGAATGCAATTTATGTATATTGTTGCGATTAGTGCTCTTTCTTCCCGCAGATTCCAGTTAAAATCTTTCATTGCTACGCCACTTCTCATGTTTCACATATCCTTCAAGTGCTCATATATTCTGTAAGTAAAATATGTTGCATTTTGTTACAATAAAAAAGAAACAATGCTATTTAATGCCAAGTTATTTCACCTTTTTCCATCTTTTAAGAGACAATGAAATGATGGGAGCCCTTTACCCAAAAGTGTGTGGGGTGGGAGGAATTCCCATGTTTTTCAACATTGCATCTTCAAATTTGCACAGTATACCATTTCCTTCAAGGCTTTTTTCCACTTAACTGTTTTACCTTCTCTTCATACCACAAGGAAAATAATTTTCAGCAATGCAAAATAACACTAAAAATTTGCACGCCATGATCTATACCAGACTGCTGCAATGTACAGAAATCAAAAGTATTCTTTTTACATGTCACTTGCAGATGCAATTATTTCTCTCACAAATTCATTTGTGCAAGGTTCTAAAATGAGTATTAAAAAAAAAAACTTTTCTTTAGAAAATGAAGAAATTAATTTGTAATATAATGAAACAAACCAACATTTCCTATTTTTAAACTCATGAGACCTCAAAAATAGGCTACATCTGATACTTAAAATTAGGATCGTCTTGTGTTCAAGTATTTTAAAAACACCCAACATGGTACAGTAAAGACAACTACAGTCAAAATCTACCACCTCTATTGTGAGGTATTTTTTGGGGAGGCTTGTTATAAAGAAACAACCCAGGATAAGAATAAAACTATTTGTATAACTGTATTATGAAATTTTAAAATATAAGTAGCAATCTTTTTCCAAAAAAAAAAAAAAATCACAGAAAACTTTGTAAATTTCCTAAACATCTAAAGTCTGTATTTCTTTAATGATTTCCTTAATAGAAATCATTCTCAAATAGTGTCCCTGAGCATGTTTTCTGTCTTCAAATGTATTATCTGTCTCATCCCCAATGGGCTCAACTCTCATTTTCAATAATGTGAAAGTACACAGGCAACGGTTTAGCCTGAAATGTACATTTGCTTCATAGTCAAGCTATTTGGGAAATTCTCCCTACCTGATATTTTTCCTTCTTCTAAATTCTTTGTTAGTCCAGACATTTAGGCATAATTCCTTGCTGTCAGCAAATGAAGTCGGTACACAAGTTTTTTCAGTTATGTCATCACCTGCACATAAAGGGATCGCCAGGTCGTCAAGGGGACTTGACACGTTGAAAATCTAATGATAACTTTTCCTATATTTAACTCAAATGTTCTAGAACAAAGATTGGAAACTCAACAAAATACCTAATTGTTAACTAATCTTAACAAAAATTAATTAAAAATGGAATCTAAGGGGAGGAAATACAAAAAGCAAAACCAGACCTAATAGAATTCCTGTATTTTTTTTTTTTTGAGTTCTCTATGCCTTCTCCAGAGATTTACACCTTTCAAAGCACCAATGTGATCACTGTAGCCCACTACATTAGCAAAGTAATTCATCAAAAATGTCATCATCCCACAGCACTTGACAAGTGCATGAAACAGAATATAGAGGCAACTGTAGAAATGTAGTAGAAGTTAAATTGTTAAATGGTTGCAGAGACACTGAAAATTGCTACTGCAGACTTCCAATAACCAATGCTTTTTCTTTTTTCTTTTTTTTTTTTTTTGATGAGTTACTTATTCCAAGCCATGAGCCGGGTGAATTTTGACCAACAGTCTTAAGATTTCACAGAAAACAAAGAGGCCAAACAACTGACTCTCTCAGTTTTTAACAAAAAAATTCCGTGCTCTAGACAGACACGCAGACAGACAGACACGCAGACAGAAAACAATCCTCTTTCCTTACAGACAAAAGGAAAAGGAAGCAATGCATCCAAAGCAGTGAGCAGTCATTGTTGCAGTGGAATTTGGGTATGTTTTCAGGGAGTGGCAATTGAAGCATCAGTTTATTACATTCAGGATCCAGTGTTGAGCCCACACAGTGAAGGCCAAGAGTCTCTTTGCAGAGATTACATATCAAATACGTTATCATCAATGACAATGTATGTGCTGCATAGGCTGTCACAAAGAGCACTGTCATAACCAGCCATTTCACCCTCCATCTGACACAGAGGTAAGTCCTGAATGCTTCCACGGTGGAAGTGCTATGCATCCCTCTTTCTGTCATGGCCCTGAAATCCTGAAGGGATGATTTAAATTTTCGGCACTTTTAAGTATGAGGCACAGTTTAAATAAAGCCTTGGACATACACCACTTTGGAAAGAACACCAGCTTGCTTAAGGGACATAACAAAGTCACCAGCAACAAGAACTTAGGCAATCTTTTAGTATAAATACATCATCTTTTATCTCAAGATTATGAACACATAGAAAGGAGGCAAAATGCTTTTGGCTTAAAGGATGCTGCTGGTATGAGAACTGAGGTCCTTCAAGCAGTGACATAGACTCATGGACTGAACCTGGCACCCAAGAACATGACAAAAAGTCCAAGACTGTGAATCCTTCATAGCACTTTTATAAAAAGTCTCTCAGAACTGGTGCCTCAAAACTGTGGTCCGGTAAAGTAGCAGGTACCCAACAGGTAGCCAGCAAAACCTTTCAGTTGCACTTCTATCAGTCTGCAAAAATAACCATGAAAGGCAAATCTACATAGATTAATGAAACAGAGTAGTGAAATATGTGCATTTTAGAGGAGCAACCATCTCCACTGAAAAATGAAAAGTTTAGAAAATCATTGAGAAAAATGCCTAAAATAACTGCAGCAGAAATATCTCAAGTCTTCAGAGGTGTTATTAGAGTAAGCCTGTCTTCACTATGTCCAGACAATGCTTTTTTATTGACTTAATCAAAATCAGCACCCAATCTCTCTGCTAGACTATTGAGAGTGTCAAAAACTCCTAAAACCCCTCCCAGACAAACAGATTGCCAACAATCAGCATACAGCTTCACTTCCCTGTCCTACAGACTAGGGCTGTACACAGCACTTCTTGGAATGAGTGTCCAGGCAACTAAGACACCACAAGACCTACAGCTTCACAGAACACATTGTGTTGAAGCTGGCTGGTCAAGGCAACAGCTTACTCGAGAAACTTACTGTGCTTGAACATTATGCAGAAGTAACAGCTTCCTTTTATTTTTTATTTTGCATTTTCTAGCAAGACCTGCCAACAGAATATAAGGAGAAAGTGAAACTAACAGACCTAATTCCAAAATTTCAAGTACTAAAGGAACAAGGAACATGAAGCTTCCCCCCTCCCCACCATCTGAGAACAACTCCAATTCCTCCTCAAACTGAAAGGCAATCAAGGGATATGAAAAAGCAGCAGCACTGTGCAAAGCCTTCAGTGTGGAGTACAAACACAGGCAGATTGCATGTGTGCTGGATGAGGAGCTGCTGACAAAGCACAAGGATTCCCAAATGAACATGCATGCGCACTCACAGTGGAACATGCAAATGAACAGCTAAGTCAAAAGCGAAAATTAATTTGGTATAGAGGGCATCACAGTATACTGCTACAAGTTAAAACCACTTCATATTTGGCTGTTAGTTTCCCCTTTACATTCAACTCGCTGTCCAGAACAATTGCCTCAAGTAGCACTTCAGAATCTCTTCACATTCTGCAAGTGAAAGCCAACATCACTGCTAAGCTCTTGTCAGCTTATTGGCCCAAAACAATGGGGCAACATGAAAGCAGTTCAGGGGAAAGGACATCACAATTTCTGAAATTCAACTCTCTGAAATAATTCTTCAAATAACCTAGTACAACTAATGTGGCTAGAAAGTGACATAGCAGAATAAAAGAGAAAACTGTTCATGAGTGTTCATTCTCCCTAGTGGAAAATGAAGCAAGTCTGATGGTTAACCAGGATTTTTTATGAAAAAATATATCCCATTCTCCATGCACAAACTGAGAAAGTGTAACACAAACAATAGTAGAAGAAAACAACATCGTTTTCTTGCAGACTATATAAAAAGAGAAGTGATGTTACAGATTGGTCCAAGTCAAGAATTCTATACAAAGTCCCAAAGCAAAAAGAATAACAAACTACCCACACAGGTGCATTCATTTTTCTGAGGTATAGTTTCCACTGCAAAATAATGTCAACATGTACAAGCTGTTTTTATATACTTCAGAGATATTTCTGCTTTTATTTTTTCTTCTCTTTCCTTTCTTTTGCATTGGATCTTATGGTACTTTCAAGTCTCCTGACTTACAAAAAAAAAGTAAGACATTTACGAGAACCCTTTAATTGTACTTACGATGCAAGAAGCAATCGTATTTAAAACAGCGTCTACAGAAGAGTGTGTGAAAGGAGTGCAGACTTTGCTCCCTCTGAACTGATTTAGCATTTGGTCCATCTATGTTCGGTGTGCACTCAGGAGGAAGAGCTCCAGGAAGCTGCTGCTCAGTGAGTTCTTTGTATCTTTAAAGCAAAATAATAGAAGTCACTTATTGAATACAAGTTTGGTTTTTTTTTTAATACCAGTGGTTTTTATTCCAGTACCACCCTGCATACTCAATGACAACTTAAAAAAACCCCTAAGAAATATGTGTCAGCTAAAAAGGCCAATCTGTTAGTGACATGACAAATTATTAATTCCATACTCATTAATACAAACTGACTAGGAAATAATGCATTTGTTTTCAAGACCATCACAACTTCATACATGGTATCTCTAACTCCAAAAAGATGATTCTTTTTTTTAGCAGTAGCTTTTATTTTACCACCTCAAAAATGAAAGATTATTAGAGAGATAAAAGTGACCGCTTTTCAATAGTTTAAAGGGAAAGCTATTAAACACTTCTGTATTGTTTGACTTGGGGGAGAGAGCCAAATCCCTTTCAGTGTCACTTGCAGAAGTTACACAAATACCACAGAACTAGCTGCATTCCTAATCAACAACTAATTAATGAAGGATTTATTTTATAGAGGAATCTTTGTTTCATAAAGCAACACAGCAATATACTCTAAGAAATATATTCTTACTTCTCTTTCAGTTCTTCTGCTGTACCCTTGTCTGGAAACATTGAGGAAATGGCTTCAAATATCTTGTCAGAAGGAAATCTCCGAGGTGGGTGGGTTTCTTTCTCTGTCAAGGAAGCAAAAGAATTTGGAAAACAAAACAAAAAATATTTCTGATCCTTTACTACCTCAAGAAAGTGTTCAGGGAAAGGGGGTGTTCGCCAAAATTCTAATGTAAAAAAGAAGTAAAGACTTTTATTTCCAAATCATTTACTATTTTAACTGTGTTAAGTGATTTTCCTGATGAGAAAAATCTACTAGTAAAATTCAGAGAAGCCATTATTTCACCAGCAGATGGAGATGGAAATTCAGAATTCTGCCTGCTTTAGAATAATGATATGTCATTTTCTGAGGAGTACCAAAACATTTATTAGACAGATACCTGACTGATTTTTGGTGCATTTGACTGCCTCAGTATGCCAATGAACAAAAATTGGCAAAAGTGCCTCTCACAGTGTTCTCAACAGAAATCTTGAACTAAATGACAAAGGAAATGATGAAAATTATGCTACTTTAGACCTGAAAACTATCACATAGGAAGATGGGTTTGAACAAATTTATTGATTGGTTAAACAAAACATTTTGGGTTTAATTTTTAGTCTGCAGATAGACGTACCCATCCTGTTACCTTCCCGATCTTTTTGCTTGTCATCTCTTTCATCAGGATTGTCATCTCCATCATCATCATCTTCATCATCACTATATTGACCAAGGGCATTGACCAACTCAACAAATATTTCATCATTGATAAATCCACATTCTGAAATCCAGCAAAATTGGGAAGAAACAAAAAAAACCACAAGGTGTTTATGAGGTATTTTTAATCCTTCTTACACTTTAATTAAACTAGGGCAAATGCTGTCATTTATGAAAAGCAATTTTGTAGTTTTCCCCTCTTAAATAGCACTGTATAAACCAAGGCCAGTTGAAAAAGCTCATTATTCATTTCTTAGACTAACAATAGGGAATGGAAGAAGAAAAATTCCCACTTTCTTTTCCCAACTCCCTATGTTACATACATATGTAAATCTCTCTTCCTTGTAAGACAAAAAATACTACCAGCTACATTATTTAGGAGATTTTATGCCAGAATCCCAGTTCCAACATGGCTGGGCTTAAGCCAGTCTGGAAATGCATGCTAACAGTCTATAAACTAATCCTTAGGCAGCTAAGATGTCTCCAGAGAGATTTTTGGTTGGTAGTTCCTTAGCATCCACTTCCCACAATACACCCCACTGGCTGAGTGATAAAAAAAAGAATAAAGTTATATACAAAAAATTCAAGAGAAAACTGACAGTTACAATGCTGCATGTATCTATTTATTTGATTATATTCTGCTGTGACATTCAGATGGCAGAATAGATTAAATAATAAGGCATTTCTGCACAAATGAAAAATCAGTTAGTGTATTTAAAAAAGAAAAAAAAAAACCATGAGCTGTCTGGGAACTGTAGTGCTTATTACTGTCCTTTTGAACCTGGACTGGGCTTGCATGTCAAAATTGCTTGACAGAAAATAAGTTTTATTACTATGTAGACAATGAAAATTTTTAAACAAACTCTTAATATACACACACAGGTTAGTACAAATTGTCTCCCAAAAGTGCAATTACAGAGCTAGTTTAGAATTCTGACTCTTACATGGGAATGCCTCTGGATTACAGATTCCCACAGTATTTACATTTAATTACAGCCACACAATACAAGTTATTGGGAGACTAAAAAAGTCTTTCTACTTCTAATATATTTTATATATTATGGAAAACACATAATAATAATAATTGCCATCATAAACTTGCATATCAAGATACTCAAATAGGATTAATTTTAAAGCTAAACTCTTTTAATAATAAATTAAATCAATAATAGAAAACATTTAGTAGTAATGGTATCATTTTGACATAACCATTTCTGACAGGGAAACCAGCAATCAGTAAATGTGTAAAAATATCCAAAGGCCAAAGCCCACAAAACATTCCATGTTTCTTATGAAATACAAAGGCACCAGGTATACTGAGGACATTAACAAGTCTAGTTGGGTTGAGTAGCATTTATTATTGAATCACAGGCTTAACCTTCATAAATGGTACACAAAATCAAAAAATGTGGTTCTTTCTCAGACACATCAGCATTAACAGGAATATGATTAATTTTAAGAAGCTATTCTCTGTTTGAGGGAAGGGATGGAATGTGTGGGTAATATCTCTGAGAAGGGGGAATCGCAGCAGTCAAGAGAAACCTCTGCAAGTGAAGTTGAGGCTTGTATAAGCCAGTTCTGAGGGAGCCCAGAGCAAGTGAAAGGTCACCACTTCACTGAGACTTTAGCAAAGTGAGGGACAGATTACACTGCAGGTAGTCCAGCTCCCACATAGGAGAACAGGTAAACTACGCCTCAGAATAAATATATGTAATACTTCTGTATCAACAGAAGGATACAACTTTGCTCTGTAAGCTGATTTACATAGAGGGCGTTTTTAAATAGTTAGCAATTTCCTCAAAAAGAAGGGAAGAAAACCCAACAAACCTACAAGAGGTTATTCTGTTGAATCACATTTGCAAATGTCATTATCAGAGTTTTGCATAATCATCCTGCCACTTTCTGCTAGGCAGGACACATACACACATCACAATACCATATTCCAAAGCTCTGAGCACAAAACTGAATACCAAGAATCACTGTATGGTATAAGAAAAAAAAGTTAATGTGCTTAATTTCTCCATACTACTGCTTAAAACTTTGCAGCCTAATGAAAATGCAGAACAATACATTTAAATAAGGAAGCCTGGTATACCCAATGTTTACACAATGTGGAAGTTGTAGAGACACTACTGTAACAATCACATGTCAAGCCTTAAGCAACACTACAACAATAATTTATATAGGAAGAAATGATTAGTATACCTGAGTGTTTGGGCTCACCTCTGTCTCCATGCACTTTCCCATCATAGTTCTTGATCAGTTCTTCAATAAAGGTACCATCCTGGTCAAGCACTTCATCTCCCATATATGGAATGTTGTGTAATACAGTTTCATCCTCTACCTAGGAACAACAGTGATAATCAAAACATTTTAAATTGTGTTGTCAAGTGACCATTTCTGCATTGTTTTTCACTATCTCCAGGATTCTGCCTGCAACAGGAAATTAACTAGCTTCACTGCTTTAGCACATTTACCATTAACTAGAAAAACAAAACCTTCAATGACTTTCAACAATTTTTTTATATTCTTGGTGGCTGGCTCAAAATATTAACACTAGCTCCTAAACTTAAGGTTAGCAGAGCAGTTCCACAAAGTTTCTAATATGGAAACTCATTAAGTTATCTGGCTTTGGGAAGCTTGCACTTGGTAAATTCATTCGTCCCCTCTTGGGGGTTCTCTCTTACAGTAACGTAGGAAAGCACAACGGGAACCGCCCTTTCATTGTTTGGCCAGAGATAAGAAAATATGCTACACAAAGACTAACTTAAAGTTGTCTAAAGAGCAAACAGAGAAAAATGCCTGAAAATTCAATCTGAAGTCCACTGTCCCTTTTTTTTTGACAGATTAAATGCATTAATATTCCCATCAATAGAATTTACGGACCTTGATACTCAGCTACATCTTCCAATACTACAGAAGAACCTTCTATTGTTAAAAAAATAAACTTTCCTGCTGATCATGATTCTGTACCCATCCAATATATCCAAACACTGTTGAATTGAAAGCAAGGAGAAAAAGATGTGAAAAAACTGTGTATGTATACTGATAAAAAACTTGTTGTTTAAATAATTTCATAATAATTATTATCAAAATAACTAGTCAGCAAAGGTAGTTAAATACAAAATGATGTGACAAAGATTTGCAATAAGCTAAGCTTTTCAAAAAGTCAAATATCTATATCAGAAATCTATTTCTACGGCTTCTGCAGTGAAGTTAATCTGGAAGAAAAAAAGGCATACTCAGATATGAAAATGACCATTATGTGGAGAGTCTATTTCAGGATTTAGTTCCCTTTATTCCAGAAGAATATCCTGTTACAGATATGTTGGTTCATTGCCTTACATCAAAGCATTCATATCCCTCAGAAAACATTTCTCACTACACTAATTAGATACTTTCAAATAAAATTACATTTGTTAATAGCCACAAAAGACAATAGGTCACCTGAATTAAATAAACTTTACAGCAAGATTTTGGAGATACTTAGGTACATTGAGGACAGAGATTCAGTTTGCAAAGTTACCTTTCTATTTATTTTATTTGGTGGAGCTTTTTTCTGATTATTACTGCCCTATTACCAATACCTAAAGTAGGGAGGGTAATTGGCAATAGATTTTGCTGGAATACTTCTAAAATTAACACCTCCCTTTTCTCCATACCTTTCTCCTCCCTATATTTGTTTAAACTTACCATAAAATTCTGTTGAAGGGGAGACCAAGAATACATTATAGGCACAGAAGCAACAGCATTGAGAGTCTTCAGTGGGATGACTTGTTTTGGAAAATCAATGTCACTGGTAACAGAGCACTGAAATAAGAAGTTGAAGTTATACTTACATAGCAACATCAGAAAAAAACCAAAAATAAATCAAAGAACACTCTACAATGTACAAAATTCAAAGAGTTTCTCAAAAGTAGCCATATCAACCTTTGAAAAATACATCAGTTTTTTAAGGCATAATAGGAAAAAAGTTTTACCAAGAGAAAAGAACCTCAAGAATTATTTCTATGTCAATATATTCACTGATAGATCATGACAGCATTTTCCACGTATTATTAAATGGCTGTGATATTAGTACTCAGACTAATCAACCTACAATACAAATTAGGTTTGGAATATCAAAACAGATTTAATACCTGTTGCTTCTGCTACACTGATGTTAGTGTATACACTCAGACCATCTGAGGGGCAAGTGAATCTCCCTGGCTTCAGATCAATACACTGCAGAAATCATGTATTATTTATGTTATAAAAATAAATAAAATTTTACTTTAATGCCAGCAAGACACCTTATATAAATAAAAACTCCACGTCTTTTTAATTCCTGCCTTGCTTCTCAATTATTTTCTGTTTATCCTATCCTCAAGCCTTTCATTATGCTCACTGCTTGCAAAGGAAAAACGAAAATTAATTCATAATATGTAACTCTGGATACATCAATGAATTTTTCAGCTACAGGACTTCTGTTTTGGATATTCAGAGATTTATGTAGCCTTCAAAGGATAAACAATCTATAGAAATACAGACAACAATTAAAGTATTCTTGCATCTAATAATCAACAGTTAACGAACATAAATCAACTTTTCTCAAATACTTGGACTGCAGTATGAAGAACTCTGGGAAAAAAAGGTTATAAGCAAAAGCAGACAGGAACATACAAAGCTAGGGGAAGTACAACAGAGAAGATTTGGAGGTAGGTATAACAAAGCTTAGGACAGCTATCATAGCTACCTGAAAGGAAAAAAGGAAGTGAAGACAAAAGATTTTTCTCCTTTCCAGAAGGGAAAGATGAACAGAGGTTCACATTTCTAAAGAAATACACAAAGTAATGTAACAAACAATATACAGAGACAGTAACCCGGCAGAATGACACAAGCCAGATTTATTTCTTTTTAATCTGCAGCAAATGAAATTAGATTTCTGCTGTGTATATTAATATTCTAGAGACACCATCCTATGCTACCGCTTCATTCCCATTTCCAGTTAATGTTTAATTTTCTAGCCAGCAGCCACCTAACATATTTTTCATGTATTTTTAAAGAAAAATACAAAAGTAAAAGAATTAGTTACTTTTATCTTTGGAACTAGAAGTCTTGGGCTGACAAATGGGCTATGTAAAAGTGACTCAGTGTTTGGTACTAAGCCTCAGTTACACTGCTCTGTTGTTCTGGTATGGAACTCAGGTTGATGTCTGGTAGCTCTGGAAAGGGCATGCTATGGTCTCCACTTGATGCTGACTATCACCAGCAATGCACCATCTTCACCAAACACAGGAAGACTTTCACACAACCTTTCTATTTCTAGCCAGTGTCTTATCCAACTCTGAAGAAATTCAGCATATTAAGAAAAGAAGATTTTAAAGTAATTTTTTTAAGTCCCCAGCATTTTTTCATCTCGCTTCTCTCACTATAAATTATGGCAACCTCGAATCAGGCATTAGAGTTCTGATTTATGAGACACAGACTGGGTTGAATGTAGTAATTAGTGTGCTCTATCAATACAGGCAGGAAATTAATGTAAATAAGAGTGAACACCACACTTGAAAGAAAAGAAAAAAAAGGAACAATCTTCTACCAACAAAAAAAAAGTGAAAATTGGATGTGTACCTGTGTCAATTATTATCAGTTCTGATTCCACACAATAGCTGTACATGAGTACATGAGTAATTGCATATTCAAGAACATTTAAAAGATAGCACACAAAGATCCTCTCCTTCTTGCATTTGAAAACATGTGCACACAAATGCACCTCAGTGACACACTCCCACTCCCCAGTTCTCCACTAAAATTTTAAGGAAAAGAAACTCTGCAAATTTATTTGCAGATAAAGTACTTTGGTTTGCTTTTTTAACCTATTCACAGTAAAGTCTTTTCATTCTCGCCCTACCAAAGAGTTCCCTTTTCAGATTATTACAGATAAACATCTTCAAACTTGTTAAGTGTGAAAAAGTGCCTAAAGAGCAACTTAAAAATAAGGTAAATTAAGTTGGGATGAATATAGAGAGCTGGAATGGACTTAAATCACTGAAGTTACCATGACACAGAACGCAATTCTGAGTAACATGCTCTAGGACACCCCTGCCTGAGCAGGAAAGCTGCACTAGATGACATCCAGTGGTCCCTTTCAACCTTACCAATTATGTCGAAACCATTTTAGGTGCTCAAATTATGCCACAACTCACGAAAGTGTTTTTCACAAATTTAGCATCCACTTGTGAAACACAAGGATTCATTAATCTAACTCCAACCAGAGCAAGAGTAAACTCCCAGCACCACAGAGACAGAACAGTTTTATTAAAGGATGCTGAGGTATGATCCAATCATTATCAGAAATAAAGAAGTTTCACTTTCGTGTGTCATTCAAAGCCAAGTAGCCCGCTACATATTTATTGCTTTGCAGAAGTCAGACGATCAAAGTACACAACAAATAAATTCTTTAAGACATTCATACAAAACACATTGGGCTGCCAAGTCATATCATGCTGAAAAAAAATATAAAGAACAGCCAACTTTCCAGTAATAAAATGAAAACGTGCTAAGAATCTTGTAAGTGGAATTACCACAACACATGTTAACCAACCTCCCTGGTCCCGCGCAATGAGCTCACAGAAGTCATGATGTGAACAGGCTGTATCCTACGTTGTTTCCATTCTTGATTTAAGATTTCAGTTCTTTCCAGTATCTTCTGACGATTAGAATTAAACATACTCTAAAAATTAACCACAACATTATAAATAAATGAAAGGCTCTAAATTCATCTGCTAGCATCTTAAGGCATTCTAACATTTAACCAGATATAACAACAAAAAAGTGCTCAAAACATACAAATTTAGTTTAAATGTCAGTGAGGTTCAATACAGTTCATTATCTCTTTCTTCAATTCATACTATGTTCTCACATTTAGAGAGTCACACATTTAGCATGGAACTAAATTCTAAATTGAATCTGAAAGAGAATGCAGCTAAAGAAGTTTCTGTATTAGCTCTCCACACCCTCTTCTGATACTTGACATTCTCAACCAACTCACATATAAATGTATCATATATGTTTATAAGACCATAGAGTTAAGACAAGTTCCCAGTAGGATGACAAAGTATTCAATGAAATTGTTATAGCAAGTGTGAACAGTAGTACACATACTTCAGAAAATAATCAATACTTGTAAAATTTTATAAGCAATAGGACCAAAAGATAAAGTACCTTTACTTCATCAGCACGTCGGAACCTCTTGAGCTGCCTCAGTCTCATATATTCTGATTTTACACGTTTTCTCCAACAAATTGGTCCCTTCTCAGATTTTTTTCCGGTTTGACCCATGATTATCCTACAAGAGACAATGTCATGTTTGTATTACTAAGTCTGACACCACTGTTTACAGAAGTTAGGTAGGAAAGCAACATTCCTTTAATATCTTTCATATCCAATTCTTTTAATTTCTTTCAATCACACACTTGCAATACCATCCCAATCCAACAGAAAAAAAAAGGAAAACATATTTAAGTGATAGGCACCAGAAAACAGTAATTTTAATAGCAAATCAGTGGACCCTTCACATTTGCACTACTAATGCCGCTATACAAAAAGGTATCTCATGGAATTTAAAGGGAAACAAATCAAAATTGCCACTGCAAAGATACACACTAGAATCCTTGCAAGTAGCCTTGTAAATTAACTTCTGGAGAACTATGTTAATGGCAGACAAGCCTCTTCCTCCTTGCAGGAAGGGTCATCTTCACTAAGATACCAACTCCTACAACAGATTTCTGGAGTTGACATCAGATACAGAGGTACCCCAAGAAGTGCTCAGACCCACAACAGGCACTCAAGCATGAAGCATTTGTAGAAATTCAGGCAATGAGTTTTGAAACAGCCAGAATAAGAGACTTTGCTCTTTTCTCAAGTATTCTATAAGACCACAAACTGCCCACTGATTCCACTTTACTGATCACCCTCCTAGTGCCAAGTGTTTCATTTTTACATTACAGGACTGTTGGCAATGAAGTTGTATTTTTATGCTATAATACAAAAGCCTTGCCAGAATATGCCAATCTGCTCTGTATTTTTCAAAATCAAGGACCGTATGCTACAGCTATGCTAGCAATGACTATTTTGACAGCATCCTGAAACTAAACCACTACACCAAAGACTGGCTTCTTCTCAAGAGCTGCACTGTAAAGCCTACAATATTTCACTGAATAGCTCAATATATCATTCACGTGGACTGAAAGGCTGAAACATCCAGTTGCCCAGGGTTAATACATTCTCAAACAAGCATAGTCAGTTTGAGCAGAAACAATTCCAGCCCTTCTAATTATCAAGACAGGTCAACATGAACAGAGGTGTCCTCTTTGGCCTTGAACCCAATGCCCATTACTACCTTCACGGCCCCACACCACAGCTCCCTTAACAGTTGTAAGTACAGCTTTATCCAAGTTACTGGAAGCTTACTGCTCTGTTTTCAGCAGTTCTGTAGAGGTCAGATTTCAGTTCTATCAGACTTGATGATGATGATGAGAGGGAAAATCAATACAGAACCTGTTTATTCTCAAGACTATACATTCATTCACAGGGAAAAAAAAGGTAGTAAGTCTATAAAAGCCTGAACCCATTTTCATGCAAGACTTAATAAGATTTAAAGTAATATTTTGCAAGAAAAAATGTTGGGGTTTTAGATTTAGGATGAAAAAAATAATTGAAAAACAAGTAGTAGAATTTCCAACCCAAATCATTTTCCTCAAACATCTTTTGAGGAAAAAACACAGGATACAAATAACTACGTAATGCACCTGACTAGACAGAAGGTGAGGATAGAGAGTTACCATGGGGAGATAAATCTAGAACAAAGCGTCAAACACAGTTACCCTGCTTACATGCACAAGACAGCAAGTAAAACCCACCTGTATCTCATTCACCACAACCCTAGCAGTTACCAAAGATAAAAAAATAAAATTATACTTAAAAAAATAATCCTAGACCATTCATGTTTGAACCAGATAAGATAATCAGTGATTCAAAGTGCACTATGATACTGACTAAAGAGCAACATAAAAGCATTATGGAGTATAGAAAAGACACTGTATCATATGCTAAACTAGGCAAAGTAAAAATATTGAAAAACAACCCGTTAACTGGAAATAAACTAGACATAGAATAAGTACCATTAAATAACAGACAACCTCAATTTGTAACAGTACAGAACATCAGAATTCCTTCAGCTATGATTCAGCCAAAAGACATGGAAAAGTCAGTGAACTCAAAAGATAAATGAAAGCTCAGTTGATGATACTGAAATAATATAGCCCATAAAACTGAAACACAAATTACATTTACTTACTCTAATACTGTCCCAACCACAGCTCTTTTTATTCTAGTTTCCTGGATAATAACAAATTACTCTGGCTTAAAAAAAAAGCTTTCTTGACTGAAATTAAATTGCCAGATAATCCCTGCTCATCAGAAACAGATCTATAGAGAAATCACATATAATTGGATTAAAAATAACAACAAACAGACAAACCCAACAGAATTTCCATCTTTCTTTTACTTAAGTACAGTTCCAAGAAGACTTGAGAGAACTACAACCCCATTTAAAAAAAAAAAAATCCAATCTATTCATTTTCCCAGTAATGAATATCACTGCTACCTGTTGCATAGACAACTTCATAGTCAAGGCACCAAACAATATCTGAGAAAATTTTAAAATCCACATCTGTTGCTTACATCAAGTTAGGGGAAGAAAAAGTTCTGTTACATAAAGCCAAAATGTTACTGTGCAACAGTCAGTGGGATATACATCACACATTAAGTCCAATGTGTATAAGCAAATTAGAAACTACATCTTAAATGGTAAGTCCATATTAAGAGAAAAAGCACTTAGTGGAAAGGAAGCATATGCACAAGGAGTATAGAAAAAATGTGTCTAGGGGAAAAAAAAGTGTCTTGGATGCATGTTTGCAAAAACTTTTCAGAGACTGTCAAAATTAATATATTACTGGTCTCTGAGCAGCAGAGCCAAGTCAACTGTGCTTTTATGTTTTTAGGCAGTCTAACGTAACCAAAGTAGAATTACTGTGTTGCTAACACATGTCCCCAGTCTCAGAAGAAAGTACAGAATAAACCAAGGCAGGGGGCAGGGCAGGAAGAACATATTCACAGAGTTAATTCTCATACTGCAATTGATCTATTATCTCCACATTAGGACTACAGACAAATGCCATTGATGATTTCTCATGTCAGTTCAAAGGTCATCCCCAAAACTTTAAATTTAAGAAGCTAGACCTGAGGAACGTGGATAAGAAGTTTCACAGGCAAGGACAGCCAGCATTGGGGAGCAAAAAACAAGAACTATGAAAGTAGGGTGCTGTACACTACTTCCCATTCCTGAAAGCAAATGTAATTTGGAGAATTAAAAGACTTCAGGGGAATATCAACAATCTCTGGGGCAAGACTGCCTAGTGGTCTACATGCCTAGAACCTGTGTGTAAGACAAACCTCTCTCAAATCACTTTCTTGTGCACCTAAACAGTAGGACTGGTGAAAGTACTCTGAACTGTAACAGACTACACAGTTCCCACTTTGCTAGATAAGACAAAAAAACCTGCACGTTTTCCTTGAAGTACATTGTATGGGAGTCACAGCTAGGACTGCAGAGCAGAGAAGCTAGTGAACATTAAGATCAAATTTGTCAGAACTAGCCAACTTTTCATATAAAGTTTCAGAATACTCCCTACAGGAGATGAAGTGGCCAAAGCTAAATCCCATCTGTCTGAGAATAGTTAAGTCTGTCTTAAGACAGCACAGTTTGAAACAGTTTCCATTTAATAAATAAAACATGATACTGATTATCTTAGCACAATGGTCTGATTCCGAGAGCCCTTAGGCCTTGTCCCTTTCTCCGTTTCCATTTCCCCTTCTGAATCCCATCAGTTGCTTGTATTGTTTTAAAATCTTATTCTTTCCCATTTTTAAATCTTTTTTTTTAAATCAAAATGGTCCAGAGAAACCATCTAACTGCCAAAGAGCCAAGTCCTGAGAAGCTCTATCAAAAAAAAAAAAAAAAAAAAACCCAAAAAAAACCTCTGGAGCAGCCAAGTAAGTTATTTATGGACAGAGTATTGCCTGTCCAGAAAAGATATAAAGAAAGCAAGCATAACTCCAAAGCAGTGATACTGTTTCTAGAGAAAGCTCTTCTCCCAAACTGCACTATGACTTCCATGCACAACCTCAGCTAACCCGGACAGATCTCACCTGGCATCACAGTAAGGAGGGAAACCTTACCATAACTCCCTGGACCCTCTTTGCAGAAGAGGGAACACTGTGGGCTGTCTCATTCCACACTGGGCTATCACCCCAATACCATGACAAAAAAGGAAATAATTATACTAATGAGAGGACCAAAAGTATCCCAGACACCCACCAAGTACAAAAAAACAAAAAAACAAAAAAAAAAAAAAACAAAAAAAAAAAAACGAGGGTACTAGGAATGAGACATACTAAAGCCACCTAAACACAAATTTAAAACTAAAACCTACAAGAAAATAGAAATGAAGACATAGCTAGTTTTTTTCAGCTTCTACTCATACTTGCAGAGCTGGAAATGAAAAACAAAAAATTGCAGTGTCCTAAAGCATAAACATTTGTTTTTTAAAGAAACCTTGCTGAGCATTTCATAATTCTGTACAAGACCCACAGCTTTAGAGCAAGTTCTTAAGAAAATTCATGCCTCTAAGCTTAAATCAGGCAACCTTTACTTTCAGCAGAGAAATTGTGTACAATACATCTAGGACTCACAATGAGACAATGAAGTGTAGAACAATTTCAGCTCAAATTGCTCCTGTTTTGCCTACAGAACATAGAAATAGCCTTATTTAAAGACAACGTCCTATTTTTCTTTGATCGTTTTGGCAATATCCATCAGTGACAGACAAGCACACAGATAATTCTCTAAATTAGGCAGCCTATTCAAACAGCCATACAGCTGTCAAAAACTATATTTAAGCTCCTCTGGCTAACATGCCAAATTTCAGGAAAAAAGATAAATTAATGAAATTTTTCAACTAAGAAGCATGGGAGAACAAATGAGGAGGGCTGCCCTTCTAAAAGAACACTATTAGTTTGCAATTGTGCTTAATATTACACAGTATTTTAAACTGCAGAAATACTACATTATCTTCCCACTACTCAGGATGCCTATTTGGAGATATTTATGAATAGAAACATATTTTGTACAGTATAGTATAATTTACAAGTTCTTTTTTTGTGAATTAATCTACATTCATAAGGTTATTCATATAGTTTAAATATATGCTAATATAATACAGTACT